GCGAAGAGGACATTGACCATGCCGCTGACACGCTTCTCGACCTTGGCCTGGCGCGCGAGCAGCAGGTCTGGAACAAGAAGATCGAGTTGAGTTTGGGCAAGCTAGCTAGGATGGCCGAATCATCCCGGCCGTCTAGCAAAGCATCTATGAGCATACAAGATGCGAGTGTCAACGGGACAGCCGAGGATGCTCAGGTAGACGCCATCGATAAAGAACTTGCCATCATTGGTGTTCAAGACGACCTATACAACACTCAAATCCGCCCAGTGATTAGCGTGGCGCTCGAGGGGGAAGAGTTAAGCGTTATACAAGAAACATTCGCACTCAAGATACCCAAGAAGTATAAAATACTCTCGCAAATATTTGACGACGCATTACGACGGCTCTTAAACCACGAGGCTCTGGACCCACTCACGCTCATTGACCTGCTTACATTAATTACTCTACCACAGGAGACGCGGGAACACATGCCTGACCAGTTTTTCTCGGCTCTTAGCGTAGCTTATAACGGCCTCACCGGCGCAGAGCGTGTACAAGCCGAACGACTCATATGGCGCAGATGTTTCCTAAGAGAAGACTGGACGCAACTCAACAACACTACACTCAAGAATGACAATGATATCGTAGAGGTCCTTGGTCAGACAGACCTTTTCCAGTTCTACTGTACACTATATGCGAATCGTAAGTAAAAACGAACATGATTCTAGGTAGTAGTACTAATGAAGAAAATAGAGCAAAGTGGCGGGGACAAGAACGATTACCGACGGCTGTCTCCATCGGAGGTCGCTGGGGTATATACGGAAACTCTTGACCGGCGATTCGAGAAAATGGACAAAGGTTATCGCGAGAAGGTACTGGAGGCAATGAGGTGGGAGGATAACAACCTTCTCAAGCATGTCGAAAAGCACCGGCTGGAGCAATGGGCCAAGGAAACGCGGAAATATGCCGAGGAGGCCGTCGACCAGCAGTACGACGAAACTACTGCCGCTGGAGCAGCGCTGAGCCCACCTGGATCGGGGTCTGCACGAAGGCAAACCAAGGGGTTCGACAGCATGAATGGCAAAAACGGCACACACTAGAAGTATTCACTATTAGGACCGCGAGTCCCACGAGAAGTTTAATGCACAGGAGCGTCGGAGTTATTTGAAAATTTCATTTCTTGTACCATACTGCATATGCTCGTTTGTTTATATAATTGCCGTGAGGCACGGGCAAAAGGAAAAGTTGACGAGAATAAGGGGGATCATCATCCATGGCCAGGCTTCCTCCACGCAAGAACACGATACCGAGGCTTTTATGCAGCGTATATAGGGTAGCTTCGCTAACTCTCGCTTAAGCCGAATTCTTTTCTGTTTTATTATAAGTTGTGCTAAGTGTTGCTTGTAATTCATATGACAATCATGGTATTTCGTCTTATGGTAATATTCGTTACTTGAAATAGCAATTCGAGTATGTTAGAAGCCAGTAATAAAGAAACGATAGTTTCTTAGTTTGGTATTTTTGGTATTTAAGCTATGCTTATTGGAAGCTTTTAGCATTCAAAACAAATACCTACCTTTCCCTTCTATATGGTTTCACTTTTTCTTGTCCAGTGGGAACCTTGACTTATACTTCACTTCGAGCTGTAACCTCTCTTATTCCAGAGCCGTAATTATCCCCAGCCTCATCAGTATCAAGTCTATCCAGCGCTCTATCAACCTCCTTATCCCATTTACTTAACCCAACAATCACCCACTCAAGGATTCCAACTAGGTATAGAGCAACACATTGTCCAACCCATAGACCTTGAAGACCCCATCCATGGAAAGCAAGGTAGATCCCCGCTGGTAGCGCGCCGCCGTAGTAACTGAGTAGATTAACAAGAGCACCAATCCATTGTCGGCCCATACCCCGGAGTACACCGCCGCAACTCCCGTTCAGCCCATCAGCGATCTGGAACAGCGCGACAAAAGGCATGACGTCTGCGACAAGCTGAACTACGCGATCGTCGTCGTTAAAGATCCTACCAAAAACATTTCTAGTGCTCATTAGAATGGCGAGTATAACGGTACCTAAAATCGTAGATAAGACGGCGGCGCAGTGGGCAGCGCGTGCTGCCTCGCGGGGCTTCCGTGCTCCTAGGAGGTTACCTATCCGAGCCGAGGCGGCGACACCTAGACCGAAAGGAACCGTGTTGATGACCTGATCGGCCGTCATGATGACGGACTGTGCGGCGAGCGCGATAGTGCCAAGTCTGCCAGCGGCCAGAGCAACAATCTCAAAAGCCCACCACTCCGTGCCCACGTGAATAACTCCCAAGAAGGCCAGGCGTGCGAACGGCCAAAGATTCGAAGCTGCGCGACGGGGATCAAAGCCGCCCCAGCACTCGTGGCCGTGTATGAAGGTTGAGTATGCGACGAGAAGTAGGAATGAAATCCAGTAAGATATGCCCGTCGCAAGAGGAGCACCATAGAGGCCTAGACCGAGAGGATAAATGAAGAGGTAGTTGAGCAACGCATTAAGCGGCGACGTGATCAGGAGCACGTATGTTCCCGGTCTGTATATCTCCTGCGCCTGCAAATACTTCTTCATCGATTCGAACCACACGTATCCTAGGCCTCCTGGGATTAGAATATGTAGAAACTTGCTTCCTTCGACGCAGATGAATTCTTCCTGGCCAAGAACGCGGAACAGGGGGCCGGAAAATCCCCATATTACGGCCACGACGGCGTAGAATGCGGTCAGTACTATGATGCCGCGTTGCAGCAGGATCCCAAGGTCGTGCTTGTCTTGAGAGCCGGTGAAGCTCGTCGATGCGAGGGTGTCTAGCGCTGTTGTGCCGCCCATGGCGATTAACCAGCCGGTGGCCATTGCAAACACTATACATATGGATTTCGCACGTTAGATATTATATACTTTTAAAATATGCTAAGGGGGGTGCCGGATTTATGGGATATATTTCATATTTAAAGACAGATAGGTATATGTATATCGATGGTAGGAGAAGGCTTAGATTTTACTAACTATAGCAGAAAGCAGCCGTAGCTAGTGCTTCTGGAGAGAGACGTCCTACGATCAAGACAGAGATGGTCTGAAGGCTGTTTTGAAGTGTATAAGCCAATATCACCGGGATAGACGCCTTAGTCAAGAGCCAGATTTCAGCCAGCCATTGCCGGTATTGGGGAGTGTTAGCCTCTGCACCATCCAGAGGCGCCTTTGGCAGGAGCGCGGTCAATTCATCGTTGAAAGGTATACTTGAAGGAGACGATGGAGTTGGTATCGATGACGAGAATTCATCAGCCATTTTGAAGGATATGTGAAGTGAGAACTTGAAGGAGCTTGGACAGGACAGGATGCGAAATAGAGCGCCTGTAAAATCCCAAGCATGGCAAGATAAAGGTGAGAGAATCTTATCTACATTAGGTACCCTTATCCTTTATTATGAATCGGAAATTTCACTTTGATATCTGAGAGCCTTTTGGGAATAACCTTCAACTAGCATGGATAGGGATACATCCCTCCCTCCTAGGGGATATAAAGACGAAACATCTTGCGGGGCTGTAAATTACTACCCCTTTACGTTTTTTAACTTGTCTAGAAGTATTCATATTAGCGTGCGGTTTTATCTATATTGATCAATGGCAAGACGCTGGTCCTGGATAGCGGCAAGATGGTAGATAAGCATGCAGATAGAAGAGTTCATAGAGTCGTGGGATGAAGTCTAGACAACCAATAGACGATTATCTACCCCGTAAATTATTGAGAAAAATGTCCGTGATATCGAGTTGCACTCGGGGCTAGTGCCACAAGGAGGACCGAATAAGATGCCGTGCATATGGCAGTCAGTGACGGGCAGCGGGCTGCCGTTGAAGACGGCGGATGGCAGTGTAACCGAGATTCCCGATTTGCCAATTCGTGCCGCCAAGAAGAATGGCGAAAGCCGGCGTGGGTTTTTGCTAGGTAATTTACGATGCAGAGCCCCGTCTCCGCCGTTCTATCATAGGTTGCTAGACATGCGAGCATTATCTAAGACCAATTGGTATCGAGGAATGAGTTGGCATTGCATTGATTACCGGGAGCCAGCTGTGTTTGGTAGGTATTATAGTATGAAATTGCTAATGGTTATAAGTATGGAGACCAACGATACCTACATGATCTGACATATTAACAAACGTATCAGTAACCTCGGGAGCTTCAATTACTTACGGAAAATATAATAGATACTTTATAGGCGGTGATGTCATGTATCTTATTATTATTATTCTTATCTGCCTCTCTTTCGAGTTGAGATATCAAATGATAACGGTATCTCTTAGTATTTTATAAAGTCTTTGACTAAAACCAAGACGTAATGCTAGATTTATAAAAATGTAATTATTATAAAGAGGGGTATTTAAGCCCCTGAAAAGAATGAAAAAGCGGTAGAGTAAAAGAATGAAGAAAAGTTCTCTTTTCCCCTCGATTAGACTCACCAAAGAGTATATCGATAGTTGGACTCTACATGAGAGGACCATAGGTAATTAGTATAATATAAGGAAATTCCTAGGTAGGCTCTGCTCAGTACTAGGAAACTTTACCAAATCATCAACATTTCCCATTATATTATTATTACAACTGCTACCAACCCGCCAATGGTCGCTATACAAATGTTTGGTCTAAAATTTAATAACTAGGCCATTAGGTGAACAGGGTAAGATATAGAAATTATAAAGTATGATCAAGAGACCCATACACATGGTACCGAGACAGGGGATAGAAGGAGAATGAGCCCCAATACTCCCCAATACCCCGAGTTACCCCAGATCTATACCGGTCTAACCGTAATTACCTCCACAATTCGGCAGACAATTCTAGATCTACTCGGTAAAATTAATCCAGGATCACCGAACACCAGTTAATTAACCGTTAAGCGACGATGTCTTTATTAATAAGAATAGGGTCCCATCGCATGGACGGTAGCCTAGCTGGCTGCATTCGCATCTCACCACAGGTGAAGGAGTGAAAAGAGGAGGAAACATACAATGAGGTTATTCTCGTTGGTGAGCGCACACTTGGCGTTCCTCGCGTCTGTAGCTTCATCCGCGGCGGTGCAGGCTGGCAATTCTACCTATTATAACCCAGTGTTACCAGGCTGGCACTCGGACCCGTCGTGCACGCAGGTCGACGGGACCTTCTTCTGCGTGACGTCTACCTTTATATCCTTCCCCGGGCTTCCCCTATACGCATCGAAGGACCTGATAAATTGGAAGTTAGTCAGTCATGCGTGGAACCGTGAGAGCCAGCTCCCCGGAATCAGTTGGAACACAACTGGCCAGCAGCAGGGCATGTATGCGGCGACTATCCGCCACCGTGACGGGCAATTCTACGTGATATGTGAGTATATTGGTACGTCGAAGGGGCTCATTGGCGTAGTCTTCAAGTCGGACGACCCCTTCAGCGACGAAGCTTGGAGCGACCCTGTTACTTTCTCGGCAGATAAGATCGATCCAGACCTATTTTGGGACGACGACGGTAAGGCTTATGTAGCCACGCAGAGCGTCATCCTCCAGGAAATCGATCTTGAGACTGGCGAAGTTAGCCAACCGCCTATCAGCCTTTGGAATGGAACAGGAGGCGTGTGGCCTGAAGGCCCGCATCTGTATAAGAAGGACGGTTGGTATTATTTGATGATCGCCGAGGGTGGCACTGAGACAAACCATTCGATCACGATCGCTCGATCTCGCAATCTAACCGGTCCTTACGAAGCGTACGAGAATAATCCTATTCTAAACGAACCGTGGCACCGACGAGTACTTCCAGACCGTTGGCCACGGCGACCTATTCCAAGACGCCAATGGAAACTGGTGGGGTATGGCGCTCGCCACCCGCTCAGGTCCCCAATTCGAGATCTACCCGATGGGTCGGGAAGCGGTGCTCTTCCCAGTGACGTGGGAAGAGGGCGAGTGGCCTGTATTACAGCCGGTTCGGGGTAAGATGAGCGGATGGCCATTACCCCCAACCAGCCGCGACATCCCCGGCGATGGCCCCTTCAACTCCGACCCCGACGTATATGATTTCGAAGAGGGAACCACGATCCCGCGTAACCTAGTCTACTGGCGCGTGCCTCGGGACGGCGCATTCTCCGTGACACCCAAAGGCCTGCAGATCGTGCCGAGCCGGAACAACCTAACGGGAATACCCTTCTCCTTAACCACACCCGAGCTTAGCGGCCAGCAGGGCCTTTCCTTCATCGGCCGACGGCAGACCGACACGCTGTTCAGCTTCAGCGTAGACGTGGATTTCGCCCCACGGCAAGTCGGCCAAGAGGCCGGCGTCACCATCTTCCTCACGCAGGTCAACCACATCGATCTCGGCGTCGTGCTCGTACCCGGAATCTCCAATTCAACGTGCTCGGAAGCCCAGACAGCACAGGTAGCACTGCGGTTCCGCGCCGAGGGCACCGGCATCCCCCCTGAGCCGCGAACTATTGCTGTTCCGAAGGACTGGCTCGATGGACCTATTAGGCTGCACGTCGACGCGGCGAACGCGACGCATTATAGTCTTGCTGCTGCGCCGGCTGCGGATCCGGATGCTAGGATCCTTGTTGGCACGGCGTCGGCGGAGCTCGTGAGTGGTGGTAATGGCTCTTTTGTCGGTAGTTTGGTTGGCGCGTATGCGACGTGCAATGGAGCTGGTGTTGGGGTGGAGTGTCCGCAGGGCGGGGAGGCGTATTTTACTCGCTGGAGGTACGCTGGCGCGGGCCAGTATGTCTCGGCGACGGAGGTGGTGTAGATAGTTCGGTTATATTTATAGGTACCTACAGTATATTTATATCCGTCCGGTTGTGCTTCCGTTCGTCCTGGTTATACCGTATACACAGAAGATCTCTCGGTCTGTGAATGGAATGATCTGAGAGACTCAACAGGCTGCCGGCGATGCCTTTTGATCAGTCTTGAGAATAGCCCCTTTTTCTTCTGCTGCTCTCCTTTAATGCATGATGAGCATTGGCATGATAGGTACGAAGAGCTCCCACACGAATCTGTATACGAACTCGAGCGGGATGTGGGCAAACTGTGAATTTGCCTTGTTCTGGGAACTTTTGATATCATCCACCTGAACAGTCTGTTTTTCTTTAGATATCGCGTTGGGCTCGAACGTCTATCGAATGAGCCTCGCGAGTTTCTACGGGAGTTCGATAGGGATGTGATGGATCTGGTAGGACTTTCTTGTGGGTCGTTGTCTTCACATCTCGTAGGGACGCTGTGTAGTAGGTCTCTTTCCTGATCTTGTGGTATGGCGGAAGATAAATGTGAAGATACGAAGGACTCTGAACGAGGTCTTAGAGAGACTTTTCGTCTAGCTTGCTGTGCCGTTTCGCCTGTTTTAACCGTCATAGTCATTGCTATGCCATTTTTCCACTGCTTTCTAATATTATCAGGATGTTTTATTTCGTCAGAAACGGATTCTCTTATATATCGTCGTGATATGTTGGTGCATCCCGATTCGCGGGTTGTCGAAGGTAGTGCTCGGCGTAGCGAAGAAGTAGACTCAGGGGTAGCCTCGTAACGTTGCCGCAACACCGCAGTGTCCAAACCGCCGGATGTGAGGATACTTCCGGCATAGGACGAAGTGTCGGCAAGCCAGCGTCGAAGCATCAAGCTCTTGCCGTCATCTGAGAGGTGCTTATTGATTCGTGCTACTCTGTTCAATATCTGGGCGACATCATCTTGCAAGGTAATTAACAACACCGGGTCTTCGGAATATATTATCAGGATGTGGTCAACTAACGTACTCTTCATATAAACGGTATCATCCTTAATTCCTATAACGTTATCCTTAACGTCTTCGATAGTAATCCTAAATGGATATAGAGTAAGTGATACGCTCAATCTACGCGAAGACAACGAACATACAAGTTGGCTATGCCTAATGCCAGGCCTAAATCATGCTTGTGCGTATTGAGACTGTTTTTCAACATTTCCAAGCTCCTTTTTCCACTGAATGCCCAACGTATTGTTTTTGTGCCAAGTGGAGGATGATAGTAGGAGAGAATCCCGAAGATTTCGTTAATAGTCTTGCCACAACTGGCCACAACATCCGATATATCGTTTCTTAGATCCCTAGGTATTCGCTCTAAGAAGTCCTCGGTGACGAGCTTTATCATAGCGCTCATTGACTCAAGTTCCGCTATTATCTCGTTGACATCGGCCTCGGCTGTTTGTATACCACGCACAAAAGGAGCGGCCACCCCAGAGACTTTGAATATAAGGCCCCCCAAAGTTATGCACGCCATTGAAATAGATAAAGGATCCATGTTGGTTGCTCTCGTAGATATCTAATAGAATATTGTAACATAGTAATATTAATTATACGTCTAGCGAAGTTGATGATAATCTGTTAGTTATATAAACCCATCTCTTCAGAATTTCCCGTTGGGCTCTCTGCGGGGTCTATCTGCCTTGGTCTTCAGACGAGGCTGTCCAATCTTTAACCAATAGATGTATGCGGTTACAATAACAATGCAGGCAAAGTCGCGGGTTGTGTGCTGGGAAGAACCTGTGGCTGTCGTGTTCAATACCAACCACCCGAGTGACATTCAGCGAGGATTGAAATGATACTGGGATTAAAGAATGCTTCTACTAAGGCAGATCTAAATGGTGTAAGGAGAAGCACTTCAATAACTATAAACTATCGGTTTCTATTTGTCTAAGCCGGCATCATTCATATCTGGAACGTGGGGGGGGGATAATATCTATGCCAGTGGGTAAGAATTTGGCATACTAATACTTGGTTGGTCACGTCGTTTCTCTGCTGTACGTTCGAATGTCCTGATAGGAGGTTTAGACTCGAAAAACAAATATTATAGATACCCTATTGGTACCCCAATTGTTTAACTACTCGACTAATTCAAACATGATTATTTTTTCTTCCTGTGCATAATCCAAGCCCCTATACACTGGTTGTATTTCGTATTTCTCGCGTAAACGACAAAATTAAGTAACCAAGGTGCACGAAATTCATTCAATACCCTTAGAACTATTCCGGAATAAAGCTTTCAGCGCCCGCGCAGGACATGAATTACATCAGGGTACTTGCCCCTGAGAATACAAGTCGACCCGAACGCCAAGCCCGTCTTCTCCGTGTTTATTCGTAACTCTGCACCCCTTGGTCGTACATTCAATAACCGGACCCCCAAATTTAGCATGCATTACTCTCTCGTAAAGTCGTAGCATACTCCCTACCGGTCCTAGAGAAACGGTCATTGTCGATCCGATCAGCAGCCTATACGCCGATCTGGGACATATTAGGACCGCGAACAGAACCACCGAGCCGCGCCGGAGCTCTTTTAAGACAAAGAAGAGGCTGGCGGCGAAGGCAGCGAAGAGAAACCATAAGAATACAGTGCTAGCCTGGATCTCACGGCATCGCTTCTCAGTATCCTCTGAACCAAATGCAATGTAATCGCTGGTTTTGTGTCCCTAGCCAAAATAGTTAGTAAAGAAGATCGAGGACCATGTTAGGTTAGATGGATGGGAGCTACATACTATATTGGAGCAGTTCACTGCTTGTAATTTTGCGGAGTAAGACAATAGCAGCGATGAAGGTGAAGAGAGTCGCGGCGCTGTCGAGAGCAAGAGCTACGACAGGGATTGCGACGGCGGCGACGAAGTGCGAAACCAGACCGTAGATGATGGCAAGCCAGGAGAGGGCGCACACGAACATGACATAGTTAATAGCGGATTCGGATCCGGAGACATTGCTTGCGATAACATTGCCGACAAGGGCAGTAGTGAGCAGGACAAGAAGGAACTGCACGATGCGCAGCACGGACTTGATCATGGTCTCCATATTGATGATAGTGTGCTTATATCGCGAGATGGTAAAGCGTTTATTTGGTAACAAAAGCTATAGATAATAATCGACAGCTATATGTAGCGTCTGGGTGGATATGTTCTATCGATACCTAAGGTAGCTTGGCTGAGCTGGTTTACTAGTGAATAGTAAACGATGAGATCTTAGGTTGTTGCTTGGTGTTTTTTAGGTTGGTTGTTGTGGCTCTGGCGGGGAATAACGGGTATTGATGGTCCTGCGAATAACGGAAGATGGGATTTGGATTCGAGGATGAATTGTGATTTAATCTGTTGACGAGGGTGTATTATTGGTTGATAGTTTGAGTCTAAGCTATGGAAGTTTGGTTGATGTCGATCAAATGATGCGCATCGATGGATGTTGTTGCTAAAAAAGGTTTAGAAACTGGAGAGATGTATGTATGGAGATGTAAAGATGTAGAGATGTAGAGATGTAGAAGATGTACACTAAAAATGCAGTGAAAGAAATGATGACCAGGTGATTCGTGATCGGCAGTTGCGGGATAATAGGTAGGTTAGCTTACCTTTTCTATGTAGTTCCCTTATAATAATAAGTATGCCATATGCTGCCTTCGCTTGCTGTTTCTGTATTTCTATGTTTCTGTTGCTGTTTCTGAATTCGCAAACTATGACCTCATTGGATCTTTCCTTATTATTCTAGAAGTAGTGACGTATACAATAATCCGCGATGCATGTGCTAATTCAACTTTTTTGAACGCGGACTGGTAAGACGAAAGTTTAAATGGTTAAATGGTTAAATGGTTACTCGAGATTTACGGATACAGAACTAATTATTCTATCATGATTCTTAAATCATTCGGATGCGGCCTACAATGTTATTATTACCAAGTTTCTTTGACTTCCAAATCCAATCAGACACATAAAGACCCTGCACCAAGTCGTACATGGTATCCTTGGACATCAGTGTCGTACTGAATCTATGGTTGGCCGGGCACTCAGCCCAAGAGCGGGCCAATCATGCCGACATCTTGCGACTCCGCACCATCTGCATCACTCAAGCTCCGTTCCCGATAAGATCTCATAATTCCGAATGATTGGCTCTTATGATTTCCCCAAGTTTAACACTTTGACCCAGCAACCGCGAGCCGCGAGCCGCGCGGGACCCTGCATCTTCTTTATTCCAATCCATTTATAGTTCAGTTAACCTCAGAAGTGTTTTATCATATACAATTGAGAATCGACTTTTATCATGTGACAATATAGTTATGTCTTATAAACCCATCCCTATGATTGCCACCCGAGCTTTAGCCGACGCCATACGGGTTCGGCAATGGCAGTATGGTCTTAGAGAAACAACCCAAGAAATATCATAGTTAGGTAGTTATTACTTGCTAAGAGGCTTTTCCATTGTTAATTTACTTTCCTGTTAATATGCTTAATTAAAATACTATTCATATTCGACCTGGTCTTTATCCAAACTTCCAATTTATTGCGACCTTACCTGTTAAAAAAAGACTGGGGAAATAATCCGATATGATGAGTCTCGTTAAAACTCCGGGCATTAAGCGATCTAGACAGGTCGGTACCTAGGTACATCCTTAGGAGTGGGTTGACACCTCGTTGCATCACCATGCATGTACGTACTACGTTTTAATTGAACAAAGCTCTTTTTTTTTTCTTCCCGGTCCCGAGTTTCTGAGCTCACCGTCGTGTCATGATAATACTGTTCTTCGAAAGAGCTACAGTTTTGAACAATTTATAATTAGCGACCGTCACGAGGTAGGGAATGTTTTTTTTTTTTCTTTTCCTTTGTAACGCCCAATCGGATTTTATATTAGCTACGTCCCGCAATGTCCCTTGCGGCGTAACCGGATATAGGTCTCGCTAACCTTCCGAACCTTCTCGTCCGAACCCACCGGCGCTATTATCAGATACTTCTTTCTGCGTTTACAACTCACCTGCCGTGCCCATGCCCCGAGGCTGTTCGACGTAAGCATCGTATTTACTAACTTTTAAAAAGAGGTTATATAAAAAATGCCTCCGGTTTACTCCCGTTTGTTCCAACCAATGTGGGCGCGTGTACTACGACAGACGACACCAAACTTAGAGAGAGCAGTATGGAAGCGCACTTTCGTCTCCGGGTCGCAACAGACTGTCCCATTTGCGATACGACAACCGAATATATTTAGTTTTCTATCCAAATCTTCGAAATCACCATTACGCTCGACCCGGCGATCATTTCACCGAACTTCCCGCTTACGAGACGCAAAACCTTCTCCGAAAGATGTTCCAGCTCAAGAACCGCAAGGGATCACAGCAAGACTGAAGAAACTATCAAGAGAATATGGTTGGGCTGCTTTGGGAGTTTATCTAGGCTTGACTGTTCTAGATTTTCCGTTCTGCTTCCTACTAGTGCGGTCGGTAGGGACAGATAGGATAGGTCCGTGTTAATGGCACTGATAGAAAAGGGATATCACTGACAGAGCCTAGGCGCAATCGAACACTGGGTGGTATCAAATGCCTCCAAATTGATACCACAATCCGTCCGAACTAGGTGGCGTGAATACCGTGAAGCCCTCAAAGAAGGCGAAAAGGAAAACCTCGGGGACACTGAAATCAGCGAAGATGTCGAGATGGCTGGCTGGGGTGTAGAAGAGGCTGAAAAACGGCACAAGGCCGAAGCCAGTAAGTTTTATGGAGGATACATCTACGTCAACCCTACCTACTCACATAACTCGCAGGCCTCGGGACCCAGTTAGCTCTTGCTTATGCGGTGCATAAAAGCTTCATATTCCTTCGAGTGCCCTTGACCGCTGCGATAACGCCTAAGGTAGTGAAGGTCCTTAGGTCATGGGGCTGGAAAATTGGAAAGCGACCAAGCAAGCGGTGACCGGAGGTTATTCTCCAATGAGCGAGAGCTTTACTTAGCCACGGCAGTCTCTTCATGAGTTATGAAGTGTCCTTACACGGTTTAATGCTTGGATGAATGACCTGTAAAATAGGCGTGAGGGGATGTACGATCGATAAAACACCATTAGACTCACTCCACATAGAAGATAAACGTCAAAACTAAAATTACATAATTCAAGGATGCACTCTATATGATTTACACGAAGAACGAGTTAACGAACGATCTAGAATGTTATTTACCTAGGTATGTACCTCATAAGAGCGCAACACTGACAATAAACGCAACTAGTTTGGATACGGGGAAGCCGGTGGTTACTCTAGTTTAATAGTTTGACTCTGTTCAGCGATATTTATTATAAGGCGGCGACATGCGGTAGATGAAAAAGTTGCACACAACTCATTAAAGTTTGGACTGGCTTCAATCCCATCTCGCTGGGAAACATTCTATTCGACTACACACGAGTTGGTGGATCTGACTAGCTACGTACGCCTTCGTTTACTCCAGCAACTTGCTACGTAGCGCGAGAGCCAAGTACAAATTCTGGATATCAGATGGAGAATAAGGTTGCAGCTAGTTAGGAATTTGTACAAGGAGCAACTCATGTTTGAAGAGAACATTAAATATAACCAGGTAGTTGAGTAGTTAGATCCGGCTTCCCCTGAAAATAGCAAGTCCCATTATATTTTACCCTATTTATGGGAGATAGTTCGTAATGCAGCCTGTATGCCATAGGTCAGGATATTATGCTCCTCTAAAAGTGCCGGAGTAAAAATGGACTCGAGCTACTGACCATGTGGGATGAAAATTTAGCGTAACGGAAACAAGTAATATTCTTAGTTGGCACGAGAGAAGTGCTTCTATCAAGAATAAGGTTCAATAGGACATCTTGGCGTAACGGCAATCTTGCCATCCGTCATATTCTCTATAGTGCCCCGTAGCTCTATTTCGGTAGGATTAGTATAGCCATGGTTAGGTCTCAATGGTAGTTGGTGAGAGGACCAAGCCAATTGCCTTATCATCCACCACAATATGCCTAACTTCAATTAAACGGTCAAATATAAGTCCCCTATAATGTTGAAATATTCTATCTTACTCCCATGACTGATCATTCTCTTATATTAAAGGTTACTTGTCAGTTTCGGATATAGCTCGGCTTACCATGACCAGTCTCCCTAAAGGACGGTCAGAATTCTCCGGTGGCCATAGTGAAACTTACTCGATCGTAATCCATATGTAATGTACCTGAATAAGGTCGTTACATCTAAAACCAGCACGTTGCTGCAGGGATTGCGCATACGGGACCAGGCGCTACTACAGAACCCGTTGTCCTGAAAAGCACCTACAGTGATCCCGGGGAAATGGAATAGGGGTAAGGGAATAAGAACAATAACCAAATTCATGACTCGAAATATGTTATCGATCAGATTTAGCAGATCACCGAGTAGATGGGCTACCCCTAGCGTGCCATATGGCAATCTTCGCACGTTTCTTAGGTCCACTAGACTAATATAGACGTGCAACTTGACGAAGAAAACCGGATGACCCTAGGGTTAGCTTCACTTCGAGAGATCAACTTTCATTATAGGTAGGTATGTACCAGGTATCTTGAGTCGGAAGGAAGTATGCTCTTTAATTATTTAAAGGCAATGGCCTGCTGTAAAACAGGAGAAACCACATACCTTTAGATACCTCCCATGCGTACCCGCGGACCCAAACTTCAACTTACCTACATATACAGATACCTAACCTAATACTTTATTTTATTCTTTATATATTCGTCAACTATACTTCGACCAAGAGCTACCTTTAACGATTGAATGTCATTGAAATTACCACTCTACATGCCTTATATAGACTCAGAACTTCTCCTTAATTACAACTTGTCGCCCAACACACGTCACAGGACACAGTCTTGGATGAAAACATACTCAGAACCAGTAATACCATTGCTAAACATGGAGGACAGTATGTTTACCGCCCGCGTGCTTTTTTTATTACCTCTGCCTCTTGGATTATTGCAACACTGGAAAATCCCAACTCAGCGTGCATACACACATATACACACCATACCATATCCTATGCTAACGAAACAGATACGGACAGCAAAGAGAGCCGACAACAATTCTTATATTCAGAGTTCAATTTTGATGTGACTTCAGAATTTGGTCTTCCCGAAAGTGCGATATCTACAGTTTTGATGGCACTAAGTCTCGCAAGAGACCTCCCCGACGCCTTCAAGAACCCGAAAATCGAAACCATACTAAAAGAAGCACTAAACAGAATCTGGCTAAAGCTCTTAACAATGCCGTCTTATGTCATGACGAGAAACGAGTTCGCGGTTTTCAACTTCTTCCAAGACCTAGATCTTGATAGTACGTTAGTTGCGATAGCTATTAACGCGAGGGCTCGTTATTGGGACGAAACTCATGGCGATGCCTAAGGTTGACTTATAAGGGATTTCAATTATGTCTTTAGGTGCGAAGGGGGCACGGCGTTAGGTTAGACAGGTACTCTTACTGGCATGAGTACCCCTAAATTTGATTGGCTTAGAAATCCATAATAGCTTCACTTAACAATAGCAACTGTTCATAGAGCCACAAATAGGGTCAAATTAATGATTAAAATGATGTTAGTCATAACAGGTATTTTGAAGCTTTGAGGCTTTGAAGCTTTTGAATATTTCGGGCCTCTTTTTTCGTGGTTTTATCTAAACTTTGTTTAAATTTATGTGATGTTGAAACTTGCATTGTTGAGCTTTTGAGGCTTGTTACTTCTATCTCAGCCACATACTGCCCCTCGCCTTAGGTAATCCTCATGTTATGACGGCTGACTTACATAGGTACCTAGGTACATACCTTGTAACTACACGCTTTGATTGAAGCTTTGAGGACCTCAATTTCCTCCTTCTTTAACTTATCAAGTGGAAATAAATAATTCTTTCCCTCCCTACATTCTACTTTTATAATTGGACTTATAATGATAATTCAGTCTTCGCTCATTTACGCTTTACTAGCAGGCTACTACGAACTTTGCTATACTCACTCATTTCTAGCATAAAATACTTAGGGTAATTACGTATCTTCGCTCTCAGGTCCATCAATACGCATCAAGATGATATCCCGGATTCCCGAGAAGACAACGTCCGATATTAAGGCTCCGCATCATCCTCGTCATCAACACTACGACGCCTTGAGGCAACCTGTCATCACAATTGAGGACCGGCCGAGGCTGAAGCTAATTTTGACTCTTTTGGTCTTCTTTCGCTTGCTTGGTTTATAAAATTAAATTTTAAACAATGTCCTTCTATTTTAGATCTTAAACAAATCACCCGGTCGGAATTTGAACCTGAAATCTCACATTCGATTCCCGCTTCGCTACAGACTCAGACACCGCTGGAGTGCTTTCAGGTCGCGCAACCTGTGCTCACCTCTAATGGCCCATCCGGTAATAGGTCCAAATCTGCGGAGGGTCCCTCGCCAGATAAGGCTTGTTCAGTCCTATTAATGAAACATGTTTTTGCATTCAGTTATGGCACGCCATTCGTTGGTACGTTACCTAGATACTTACCTGGGAGACTTTCATGTATGTGTGTAGAACAACGATCTCTAATAGTTAATAGGAAATTATACACCACCTAGCTGCTCTTTTAATCGTGTTATTATGAACTTCACTGTTGTCTCTCAAGGCCGCCAATTCGATCGTCTGGCGTTGATGTATTTTGGCGACACCGAAGTATGGCGTACTTCCACTGCGGAGCCAACAGTACCCCCAGGTATACGTTGGACATTTTTAAAGGATATGACGGAGTACCTTTACTTTTGGAAATCCCCCCAGAAATTAATTTTCGACCTAGGGAACCTAGTAGACGACAAGTATACTGGGTCATTCAATGCTACTCTAACTGCTACGTTCTTTATGGCTGATATTGGGACTGACGAAGCACCTCCGGCAGACTTGGTTATCCCGATATCTGCGAGAAAAGGGGGCGCAAATGGAGCAAGCCAATTTACGCTTCCAGCAGATGCGCGACTAACACTATCAGTTTTCCTCGAAATGCTAATCGAGCCGTCTTCACTGTCTCGGCCAATGGACAAGCTTCAGAGGAGTTCTGGTGGGGAAACGTTCTGCAAAGCGATACTCTCGCGTTTAGCCAGACTGCTGGGCAACTGCCTGGACTGTCTCCCTTTCGAGAAGTCCAATTGCTCATCGATGGCAAGCTCGCTGGAGCCCAATGGCCGTTCCCAGTGATATTCACCGGCGGGGTGGTACCTAGTCTACATCGGCCCGTCGTTGGTTTACAGGCTTTTGACTTAAGAGAGCATCAGATAGATATCACCCCATGGCTACCTACATTATGTGATGGAGTCGACCACACATTTGCTATTAAGGTCGCCGGCTTAAATAACTCAGAAAATATTACCGACTTTACACTGACAGAAAGAGTCAACGACAGCTGGTATGTTACAGGTAAAATATTCGTGTGGCTAGATGAAGAAGGATCGGTGACTACCGGCACGGGCCCTTCAGTAGAGTCCTCGGACCCGGTCATTTCGCTTTCGAGCCAAGTTACCCAGAATGCAACAGGATTTAACGAATCGCTGGCTTTTAACGTGACCGTTCAAAGGACAATTAGTATCAAATCATCTATTAAGTCGAAGGGTCAAAATGGAGAGAGTACTTGGTCTCAAAATCTCTCATATTCGAACCGGGCCCTGATGTCGAACTTTGGGACTACTCAAATCAATGACTTTAGCATTACTGGAACCGATTCTACTACCGGGCCTACTAACTCTTACAAGGCGATTTATAGTTATCCGCTATATTGCAATCAAACATACCTAAGGTCGCCCCAGGGTAATCTAACGATAAGTGCACATTTAATAGAAGGACTTGATCTTCAAGTAGAGGGGGACTCCGTCTTTCCTACAGGCCTCGAAGCTTTTGGATCTAGCACTACTGGAAATAATTCGTACTCTACTTCGCATCTTAAAACCCACCGCGACGGTACTGCATTCTTCTTCCAGACGGGAGATGGTAGGAATAGTTCTGGCTATGGCTCAACTAATCAGATCTTCTACTTCGGTGGCTCCAGTGAGAACGCTACTCTAGAGAGTGGAAGTGGTATTGACGAGCTTTACTTCCGAAATGTGACGGCGGTGAATGGCACCGTTGTGTTCGACTCAGAGAGGATGGAAGGGGTAGAGATTTATGATTTCAATCGGGTATCAGATCTTCATAGTCCTGTCGAGGCAGGATTAACCCTATTTGCTTATGTCCCCGCTAAGGTGTCGAAGACTTCAGTAGGAAAAGATATGGACGGCTACAAAATACATAATAAGCCCTCGGGACAAGTTCAACTTCCCTAAAGAGGGTCTACTGTACCATTATAACAGAGCTTGAAGGATAGTAATAATCATCATAAATAGAAAGTTATCTTTTAATTGTTAATTTTATCTTTGGCCCTTGGGTTGTAGCCTATGCTATAACTACCCAAGGATAAGAGTTTTACACATGGTATTCGTTGGGAGTTTCCTACGTAGTACCTAACCCCTTATCCCTTAAAACATTTAATGCTTTAACTAGTCGATTAATTCTAGACCTATGCAGACTTATCTCGATACGAACTTTAATCCAGTTTCAGCAATCATTATGAAAGTTGGTTATTCAAATCTAACTTTAATATTCATACCTGGGTATCCATTACTTCTTCAGTTAACACATATCCTCTCTTTGACCAGTCCAACCAATAACCTCATTATAGAATCCAAGAGCCATCATGCCAGAAATACATGTAAACCAACATAACGCGTAATATCATGGAAGGGGTATATGCTATTATAGTAGCAAGTAATTCCCATCGAAAACAAAATCAAGCTCCGTTGAGAAACGCCATGCTGAAAACGCTCGAATATGATCCAATACCTATACATCCCGTCCATCCATTGCAAAGCCGCAAAGAAATACCAACCGACTCAGGGTAGGTTGGCTTACGCGCCGTCGTCCGCGAGCCCGTCGACCTTATCAGCCGCGACGAAGTAATTCCTGCGATCAGCCTCCTTGAGGCCCTCGTAGAACACATCGGCCATCTTCCTATACCCGGTGTCGTTGGGGTGAGTGCCGTCGGCGTTCAGGTCTTCGACCTCGGGGCCGTCGTCGCTCTGCATGTCGACGAGGACGAGGCGCTTCTTGTCGCTCTGGAGCTGGTTCGCGACCTTGCGCAGCTGGGCGTTGAAGTCCTGGACGCGGGCCTGCACGGCGGCGTCTTTGTTGACGAGCAGCGTGGAAAGGATGACGGTCGCCTTGGGCGACTCGGTGTACAGCGAGTCGAGCAGGCTCTGCAGCCGCTTCCCCGCGTTGGGCAGGTCTTTGTTTTGCACGCAGTCGTTGGTCCCGACGTTGACGAGGATCACGTTGGGCTTGTACTTGGGCACAGAGGCGGTGGCTTTGTCGTGCACTTGGTCCACCGTGTAGCTCTTCCAGCCCTCCGTGTCGTTGTCCTTCATGCTCCCCGACGGGTTGTTCCCGACCATGTTGACCTTGTTCCCGTTGGCTTCGATCTTGTCGCGTATGTCCTTTCGGTACCCGTTGTTGTCCGAGGACCCGAAACCAAAGGTAATCGAGGCTCCCAGGGGCATGATTCGCAGGGGAACTCCGTTTCCGAAGCCCTTTGCTCGGGCTGCAAGGGCGTCCCTTGATAGGGTCCCGTTGTGGTTTTGAGATTCCAGCATTGGTAAAGCGAGGCCTGGGTTTTGTTAGAATATGGTGGTTAAGGGATATATATAATTGGATCAGAGCTTACCGCTTGTTATTTGTGATGCGAATGCTAAGACACACCACAGTAGTTGCTCGTGGACTAACATTGTAGCAACGACGAGATTGGCAATATAATGATCCTTATCAATATGCCAGGTTCCTTTGTCTACTATAGTCTTTGATCGACTAGTATCTGCTCGTCGTATTCTACTGTGTGCAAGCTCCTGATTGTGCGATTTCCGAATCTCCATCCCTAGGGGAGCGTGGCAGCGGGCTATTTATCATTCCCACAAGCCTGCATTCCTAGTCAGAGTCTAGAAGCCCCCTTCGATGTCTCTCCGAGGATCTAGTGGGCCCAGCACTCATGGCTCTGCAAGGCTGGTCACCTCCATCATCGACCCATCCGGCCAGCAGACTGGTTGAGGTGAAGGCTAAGCATTTTTCGATCGACGCTACGGCACTGCAAGGTTGTAAGTTTGCAAGGTTGTAAGTTGGGATCTAGGAGATCCCGGGTATTATGGATCGTGAGTTAGGTTAGGTAGACTCGGGGGGGTCTAGACTTCAGGGGGTCACGTTGCTTGCTAGCTTTGTTTAGATGTCTTACATGCAGTATTCCGTGCATTATCGATCCTATGCTACTACCCGAGTCCAGCCATATTTTCCTTGTGGTACGTCGATAAGGGGCGTTTTTTTTTTGTTTATATTGGTTACATCGGGTTGAAAATCCTATTGCAGGTTTCCTTGATGTTGATTCTGAATAGGGGTTCATAGGTAAGCATTAAGCATCCTGCGTTCAGCAATTGTGGAAGACGGGTCCGGCAAGTTCGGTAATTGAACACATGTTGCTTTCATTCCGAATTGTAGGCAGAATTCAAAGGAGTAGGATCCTCTGAATACGTCAAGATTCTTTAGAGATGTTATACATGGATAATGGGATCAGCAAGCCGTTGTAGCTTACTTCTAATAAAAGGTAATGTTCAAGATGGGCTGGGGTTGTTGAAGTAAGACAATCTTTGCTCTTTTCGACTGAGATCCCTGCTCCACGTTGTAGCTCGACCAACCTCGGAAATGTCAATGTCGGGAGGGTGATCCAGAAGCCAGATACTGTTTGCAGATTCTGGTCACGTTGGTAAGGCCGGTAAGATATCTCGGCTGAATTACAAGGCTAATAGCTCGTAATAGCTTATTATATATATTAAATGGCACTTTCACAATTAAATGCCTTTATCGATTCATTGGTATCCAATGATCAAGACTCAATATTTATATATATACATTAGGTAGGAGATACCACTTTAGAGTCACGCCATGTAGGGGTATGTTATGTCAAACGTATCTCAAGAATTAGAATTCACCGCGAGACAAGACTGTGGTGCTATGCCGGGATTAAAACTTGGAGATCTGTACGCTTAAGCCTTAACTTTTCTCTCGGATTTGTTGGAGAATCCCCCGCAAACATCATATGGGTAGGTACCTAAGGTAGTAAAGTAAAAACCCTCCGTATCTGTCTACCTTCTTCGGTATTTTGTTTTCGTCATATTTCCGAGGCTTTTTTCTAAGCATAGGATTCGTTAAACCAATTCTGACATCAGCTGTTAACTCTTATCTTACCACTCGCTGGTTGGTGAGCATCATCTTCCACATAGCCTCATTCCTCTTGGCAGATCTCTTGCACGAATAAGCATCCGTATTTCGTTTTCCCTGAGAGATATGTACATCTAAGGTCGTATGTACCTATGTATGTAGAGCGACCTTCGGATCTCGCCTTACCTCGCTCTACCTCGCCCTACCTACTGGCGACCTAATTACATCATTAATAGAAGCCTTATGTAGCTTTTTAATGTCGATCAGCTAACACGTGCTCGACTTAGGCAAATACTGTTTAATCCGTGATACGATATATGCTATTCTCGGCACAGGCACATATGACGATCATTGACCTAGCTTGCATTGTCTGCGCCAGACGCTTGGTTCCATATGACTCGCGAAGGTCGGCGGGTTGATATAGATATTTCCTTTGCCGGCAACACTAGCTAGCTTAATTTCTCTCTTTCTCTCGCTGATTATATTGCCGACCTAGTATATGGTAAAGTTTTGATGCATTTCTGACGTCAAGTATCTACCTAGGTAATTAACTACACTCCCTAATGTTCTAATATATACAAAACCAGTGAATGATTCGACAGCGTTTTAGGCCTAATTTCATAACATATAGTTACCTATTTGTTGATCACATCGTCTTCGGACAGTAGATCAACATTCTGCTTTTGCGGCACTGCCGTAGCATCCTTGATCTAGCAAGCAGCTGTTCTATATTTACTTCTTAGTGCCTTTAGTTTAGGTTGGTCACTTTCACTATTTACGAATGTCTATCTATATAGATATACGAGGCCGAACTTGAAGCTTAGGCTAAGAGTAAGTAACCACTTTCCTATACTATCATGTCGATCTCGGCTCCCGTATCATGATGGGTGATTTGGTATGGATCGTCGTACTCCTCCAGTTAACTCCTTGAGGTTGAAAGTTAACCGGTCTATTTCCCGGAAGCCCAATTTCTCATACACTCCTTTACCGTTAGGCGTGGCCTCTAGATAGGACTTGAGGCCGTGAGCATCAGCGATAGTCAGCATGGGCAGCAACAGCGCTTTCGCAGCTCCTCTCCGGTAATATTTAGGTGATGTGCATAGAAGTGATAGACCTGCATATACGTATATAATACTCTCTTTAGCCATTGAAACATATCCAAACAATGATGGTCGTCTTTACTTACCTAACATCTTATCCGCATTGTGCTTATCCGAGGCAACTTTCAGCGCATCGAAGAAGACCTGACATAGCTCTGGCTGGCTGCCTTTTGGGTAATCCGCAATAGGGGGGTTAATAGCTTCGACAGGCGCACTATTCGCCGGTGGGTTGTCTCCCGTAACCTCTCCCGGCGTAACAATCTGGGAGACATCCACAGTGGTGTCCTTATTCCGACCCATTCCCCAAAGGCTTTCTCGTAGCCTTCGGGAATGTCCCATCTAGCGAATGCAACTATGTCATCGCCTGGTCATCCGTAATTTGAAGTGTCGGACGCTTGGGTCATCCATCTTGCGGCGGATGCGACGTTTCATCCAAGTAAACATATCCTTCTTGTTTGGCGGCCACCAGAAGGCGTTGCGCTTGTCGGTCGCGAACGCATCGTAGTATATATCTGCAATGATATCTACATCGGCAATTGTGCAATGGGACATGGAGAATCCCTTGGCAAGAGATGAAGGTATCGGAAAAGGTAACGCCATTGCTTAAATATTTATTTCCTTCCGGTCTCTAATTTTTACTTGGTCTTAAAGGGTAAGTAATAAGTTAGACTTTTCGAAAACCCATCTTAACGATGAATAAACGAGGCTGTATTATATTGATATATTTGCCCCTGAAGAGGAAGTATTCCGGATGCACTAGTTATAGCGGCGTCTTCGGTTGCGGAGTATCCCCCGAATTGGCGGTCTAAGCTATAGGTACCATGTAGTCTACCTAAGTATGTTAACCAATCGAGGATCAGATAGTTAGCTAGAAACTATACGACCTTCCGAATATGTCTTCTGCTTTGGTTTTAATTGGTCATATCCTGCGTCATACGCCGATGACTCTATCGGCAAGCAGAAATAAAATATCATATTATGCAGTAAAGCCGTATTTCTTACAAGTTGGTCAAAACTAGATGGGATCCTGGAGAATGCCTAGAGTTATACCGTCAAATGTCTGAGAAGGGTAATACCGATTTGGGTCATCAGGATGATAGCATTATACTCTCTCGCTGACCCAAATCGCACCCCTACATCCTAACCTTATCACGCCAGTTAATAACCAGTGAGGCTCGGCCTTCTTCGCATCATTGTCAACGGCATGATCTAGATGTTCTAGCTCTTCATCTCGTATCCTCCGTAATGTCGTCACTAGATCTTGTAGCTCCTCGCCCACTTCGTACCCTTCGGTCTTCCACTGTTCGAACATTTTAGTAATGTCCGTATCTGGTTATTATAATGCCCGCCGATCTCTGTCTCGACAGCTTCTGTACATGCCATTGCGGCCTCCCTTCCCATAACTGCCGTCGACCATCCTAAGCCCGATGCTAAGACGGACCAGACTGGGTAGAGGGCCGTTGGGCGCACGCGGTGTTAGCGATGAGGGAGTTGAATGTGTTGAAGTGGCCCTCTTCTTGAGCGTACATATGGGCTAGTAAGGGCCGAAGATGGGGTGCGCATTGACAAGCGGCGGTGTCTGGGCGGTATAAATCAAGGTAGCAGCCAATTCCCCGGCTTGGTTCACACGGAGCTTGATAGACGGCATCTTAGCATGAGTCGTAGGAATTCAATGACTAAGGATATGCTATCTAAGGCGGTCTTACAGCTGAAGAGAGGAAATCTCGCTGCTCCTTTGTCAGAGGCTTCCGTTTAGGCCGGGAACCTGACGGGTCAGTCGAAGAAGACGAGGTCGACGATACCGTTGCATTATTTTTCGTAGTTGTGCTTAAGAATTGTCTTCGGGTCGGTTGACACAAAGTAGGAGGAAAAAGTCCCGTAAGGAGGATTGAAAAGTTTGGCGCACTGCGTACGGCTTTATTCTTGGTAGGGACATGGCTAAGTAGCACAATTGAAGGGGAAAAGTTAAAGATCTCAAGATTAAGATATATTATTTCATCAAGTACCTAACCTTAGCAGACTAGAGCCGGGAAGGACGGACCTTGGTTCAATTCTAGCTTCCGATGGTTACGTACTTCTCATGATCTAACAATTCATTATCTGATAAGGTTAGATCGTGCACCTAGCATACCTATGTACACCTGATGCACAGGCCATAGAGGTAACTTAGGTACCTCTTAAGATTCAGCTCGGGGAATTGATTAGGTAAGGAGATAAAACCCAACCAATGGGAACAAACAATGCGAAAAGAGCAAATACAACAGCAGACGTGGTCCTCCAAATTCAAGCTTAATGAGGCTGTAAATTCAACAACTTAAATCCTTTACCTTAACTTTATTATCTGACGCCTTCCACAAATAGGGGACTAGCACTTAACTCTCTCAACCACATCTTCTTTTCTTATTATGTTATAAATACTTTCATTTAATTTACCTACGCTTCTCTCAAATAAAAAAGACCATTTCCTCTTTACAATCAAGAAACTATCAATCTTACCACTTCCACGAGTACTCGCCGTCGCGCATCACATTTTCCAGTCCTTATCATCTCTAGTCCGAGTCGCCTTCGCGAATTAAATATCTTATCATCATGGCCGATGTAGATGATGAACTCCTAGCCCTCGTCGGAGGCGACGAGTCGTCTGATGAGGAGCAAGAGCAGCCCGCAAGTCCCAGTCGTTCTGTATCTGGTTCACCCGACCCCGAAGCCAAGGATCAAACGTCAAGCAAGACAAAGCACAAGTCTAACAAGAAAAAACATGACGATTCGGATGAGGAGGAAGGCGAGGCGTAAGTTCCCTAGTTATCTTACTACTTCCATTAACCCCACGCATCCTATTATTCAACACACGCTCTCTTCTCAATCGTTGTTGCTATGCAACAGGCAGAATACAAGGACAGCCTTCTTTCGCTTCGTCCAAGTCAGCCAGCTTTCATATAAATCCCACTCAATGCCTCGCAACGCCTACTTGAATCGCACTGCAATCTGTTTTATTGAGTTTATTTCTTAACATTCGATAAACGAACTGAGCTAACTCACACGCGCTATGCCTCACAACAGTTCTTCTATTGCCTCTCCAGCCTCGCAGAATTCTGCACCCATGGACGAATCTGATTCCGAGTCTGATACCTTGCAGGCTACTAACACCAACGGCAAGATGGACGACGACGATGATAACAAGTACCCCATCGATGGAATTTATGCAAACGATGCAGAGAAGGAAGAGATTTTAGCTATGCCCGAACTCGAGCGAGAGCAGTTGCTTGCTAGACGTCAGGAGGAAGTTGATCGCCAGCGACAAAACACTTTGCTTCGTCGGCTACTGAAAACGAGAGGACGATAGTCAGTCGGTCAAGAAGCGCAAAGCTAGTGCTGCTGACCTAGACGAATCCCAGCGCAAGCCCTCACGACAGCGAACAAGAATTGGTGGTTCAAGAGTGGGTGAGACGAGCTCTGGCATTGAGTCGCTCCGCCGCGCTCGAGCCGAGAAGAACGATCGACAGCGCCGTAGAGAAGAAGATCGAGAACGCAATAAGAAGTCATACTCGGGTTCGCGCGACAGCCCTGGTCGCGATGGTGATGATGATAGCGATGTCGAGTGGGCTGGTAGATCAAGGGATAGGTTTTCCAAATCACGAACTCCCGAAGTGAAAGAGACCCCCCCGCCGATATCCGTGATTTCGAGCGCGTACGACTTGGCCGCAGCCGATTCGCTCGAGTTTGTTTCTACCCTGGTTTTAACGAAGCTATCACTGGATGCTACGTCCGTATCGCTCTTGGTCCAGGTTTCTGATGGTTCTAATGTCTACCGAATGGCTCTTGTTAAAGGTATAGTCTAGCCATACACCTCTAGTTTCTTCATTACTAACCGTGCTATCCTAGGGTTCACAAAGGGAAAACCATATGCCATGGAGAAGTCAAACGGTCAGAACTTTGTCACTGATCAGTACATCAGAGCCGCACATGGCAAATCTGAAAGGGATTGGCCTTTCATCAGTTGCTCCGACTCACCTTTTACAGAGGTTTGTGACAATCTTGTGGCTCTATTCTATGTTTGCATGTCTAATTTATTATAGGCTGAGTTCAACCGCTATAAGAAGGTTTGCCAAGACGAGGGCGTTATCTTTCCCAAGAGACCGACACTAGACGCTAAAATCGACGATATCAACGCTCTAGTGAATCGCTCCTGGACCGATGCAGAGGTAAATGCTAAGATCGAGCGAGAGCGAAGTCTACTCGGTAAATTCATGCCTACTGAGCGAAACCGATTAGTCGACTTGATTGAGGAAGCCAGACGACATGGAGATGACACCCGAGTTTCGGAATTACAGGATAAGCTAGACTCCCTTGAAACTCCGCGTCTAGCTTTCAAGACCAGCCTCACCCCATCGAATAAGTCGACCAGTTCAACGCCAACGCAGCAAGAACGATTAGCTGCTTTGAATGCTGAAAACCGTCGACGCAACGTGGAGTCTGTCCGTAAGGCACAGCTAAAGGAGAAAGCGAAGGCGCGCCAAATTGAGGCACGCGTTGCACGTGGAGAAGAAGTCGATGATGAAGACACTTCACGACGTCTCAAAACCAAGCCTAAGTTTAGGCAAGACATTAATGGTCCCACCGACCTGAAGTCAAAGACAGCCAATGGTAGTGGTGCATCGACACCTACAAATGGCACACCAAAGCAGAGTGCTACTACTAAAGCACCACTTCTACCTCATCTGCAGAAGCTGCAGCTACAAAACCATCAGGCAGGAAAAGATAAGAAGGGGATCCCTCAGATTCATAAACCAATTGTGGATGATGATATCATCGCAGCTTTGGATCTTGACATTGAGGTTGACATTGATTAGACAAAGCGAGCAATTTTCTGCATACTTAAGACTAGATTCTGATTTTCTAGTCAATGTTTTCTCTTTAAAGTGTATGTTAGAGGACGAAATTTTCCATCCATGTGCTCTCGGAAAACAAATCACAAAGTTAGGTTATTATTTAACTACCTAAAGGACAGCTCTACCTAAGACATAGGTCTAGGAGATTGCGTTAATGGCGTTGAGGACAGGTTCAATTGGACGGTAGCAGAAGATAGGAGCATAGCATCGATATTAGGCATAGCTACATATAATCCTCGCTACCTCTTTCAGCCAGTATATGATGATACTTTAGGTAATATAGGAGGTAGCTATTTGAAAATGAAACAAGATTATCTGCATTTGAATAAGATTCGCGCAAGCCATTAGGCACCTCGCATATGTGATAAAAATGGGGATCTTTATATTTTATCTACATTAGGTAGGTGTGTTAGAATTGGTGTAAACATATGACGTTCCTAGGCCTAGGTATCGTGTTGATGACTCCTCGGCGTTGTGATGACCGTGGCTAGCGTGGAATGCCGTGGTGTTCCACGGAGTTTGATGGTCTGCCGTTACCTTATTGGCATTGGTAACATTTGTAATCCTGACTAAAATCAGGAACCGGAGCCGCAACTTGGTAGCATCCCGGCGGCGACTTGTTTATGTTTAGTGTAAGTCAGCAATTCTAGACTCGGTCCGTAGAATTCACGATAGCCACTTTTGTTTGACTATACGGAATTTGAACACTGCCCGAGATGGAACGGCCGCGGTTGAATTTCTATACCGCTATTTGTCAGGATGGCAACATACGATGCTAAGTACTAAGGAGATGGATGAAGATGAATTTAGTATTTAATGTAGCTAGTGCTCGCAAATATTTTCTAATGGGAGAAGAAATCATCATCAGAAGCAAAGCTGCCTTGTCAAGAATACCTTGTCAAGACTACCAGAATATAAAACATCTTAACTTACCATCTTTTATTCTGAATCAAGATGCCTGTTAGACGCCACGATTCAGCCGCCGTCGATGTTGCGCCTCTAGGCCAACCTCTCAAGTTCGAGTTCTCCGGGAAAGTTGCAAAGAATCGATTTTACAAAGCTTCAATGGCTGAGGATCTAGCATCCTGGAGCGTCGAAAATTTCGAGGAACGTGGTATCCCGACCAAGGAGCTTATTGAACTATACCGAATGTAAGGATGACAAAAGCCAGACACATGTTATCCTCATTGAGACTAACACGAGAATTTAGATGGGGAGAGAATGAGTGGGGTGTTATTGCTACCGGAAATATTGATATCGAGTTTGATATGCTAGATGCTGTCGGCGATGGCATCATTACTCCAGAATGTCCATTTTCAGGCCCACGCTTTGAAGCCTTTCAAGAGATGGCCAAGGTAGCCAAGGCGAATGGTAGCTTGATCGTGGCTCAGGTTACACATCCCGGACGCCAGCTAGCTGCCAGGATTAGAAAGGACACGATTTCGGCGTCGGCAATTCAGCATCGTACGTAAATGTCTCCTTTCTCATTTATCCTGACGATGAGGCGCTAACAAGCATACCTCGTGATAGCCCCGAAGAATGGTACGATCTATGCTGAGCCTCGGGAGGCTACGAAGGAAGATATCGCACGTGTCATCGACGGGTTTGCACACGCCGCCGAGTACCTAGATAAAGCTGGGTTCGACGGTATTCAGCTTCACGGAGCACATGGGTACCTAATCGCACAGTTCCTATCCGAGCTTTCAAACCACCGTACCGATGAGTACGGCGGCAGCATCTCGAACCGTTTACGTTTCGTGTCCGAGATCGCCAAGGAGATCAAGAGACGCGTGCGCCCAAACTTCATCGTCGGTATTAAGGTGAACTCAGTCGAGTTCCAAGAGAAGGGCATCAAGCCGGCAGACGCCCGAATCATGTGCGAGACCTTCCAGGAGCTGGAATTCGACTATGTCGAGCTCTCGGGCGGCAACCACGAAGAAATCGGGTACGGCACCAAGAAGGAGACCACGCTGAAGCGCGAAGCGTACTTCCTCGAGTTCGTTCGTGATATCGTTCCCCACCTCTCCAAGACCAAGAAGATCCTTACCGGCGGGTTCCGCACGACGGCCGCCATGGTAGACGCCCTCAACATCCTCGACGGCATCGGCCTCGGCCGCCCCGCCGCGCAGGAGCCACGCCTCGCGCGTGATATCCTATCCGGGAAAGTCACTAGCGCCGTTCGACCAGTCGATGGTGTCGTGAACGACGTGATACTCTCCTTAATGAGCGCAGGTTCCCAGTTGGCACAGATAGTCAGGGGCCAGGAGCCGTTCGACCTCAGCGACGAGAAGGCGTTTGCCAGCTTCCAGGCGGACCTGGGGGCTCATTTCCAGAAGTTCGCGGCGGCTAAGGGAAGCTTAGAGTTCCACGGCTATCCGGCGTTAAACGACCCTAAGACGACTTCTCATCCGTATGGCGTTCCTTACTAGATGTGTAGGATCAGATGGTTTAGACTAGAATGAGCATTGGGTTTCTACGCTTAAGTGTTATTATTATCTGCTTTTGAGTATCTTGGTTAGCAGCTCGACATAGAGAATAGCGTGTGTTAATAGATATATACGATAGAGAATGTATATATTATCGATAACTTTTTGGCCCTTTATTACTTCGAATGTTAGATATAAGATGATGTTCAAGACATGATGCTGACCACGATAACTCCTTGAATCTTATAATGCTTACGCGAATAATTCATTTTAGATAAGTATAGATATGCAATATATAATGCCAAGACTTTCTCGTCTATGGCCAGAAAATCCAGATGTGCCATTTGTCAGCAGTCAGTTTACCTCTGTGCCCCTTATTCTCTTATTCTCATGAGAGCTGACCAATTCAACTGTAGTTTTTTTCATTATTTTTCTTTCATCTGTCAAATAAGCGCTTTCTACATTGTCTTTCCCCCCTGAAGCTAATTCTCAGAAGGATCTACTATTCAAAGTCGTTTATAAATCCACTTATAAAGATGGAGACTAGTTCTCGTCGTAAAGCATGTAGGTTACTATATATCTGTTCTATTAGAATTTCGTTAACGATCGTTTATATAGGTGATACTTGCTTCAAGAAGAAAATCAAGTGTGACATGCTAAAACCAGCATGCTCGAACTGTTTACTGTATAAAGTGCCATGTGGCACAACTGTAATTCGAAGAAGAGTAGCCCCAGTTGTTCAGAGGGAATCACGGGCAGCAAGCACTACGGCAGATGGCGATGGCCTTGAGGCTCGCCTTGCGCGAATCGAGGCAAAGTTAGACAGGATTGGCGACCCCAACGGTGCCACTGTAGTAGATCAAGGGTCTAATAACACACCAAGTCAAGCTGTGGGATCTGTCATTTCGCCAATTGATACCTGCTCAGGGGCATCTAGTCCATGTCTTTTGGAGCGCCACGGGGATATTGCCTACCGCCTCTCTGAGATATTGCCTTATTGAGGACTACTTCCGTGATTTCAATACTGCCTTGCCGCTGTTTCACCAACAGCATTTTATGCAAATGCTTTTAGACTTCTATTCCGAACAGGAGCCTACTAAGAAATCTAGGGCCGTCTGGGCTGCGATAAATGTAGTTCTTGCCCTTGGTTTCCGCATCCGCACTGTTGAGACAGACGAAATCATAGTTAGATTCGATGATATTAAAATCAAACATTGCATCGACAATGCCCAGAAGGAACTAGACGAGCTTGTGACGCGAGAAGAAGACACACTTGGGATAGAAGTTCTCTTGGGTCTGGTTTGTAAGTCTCGAACCGAATTCTAAACCTCGTTTATAGATAGGACCACTGACCAAATATGCTTTAGTACTCTTTCAGACAAATACTGATCAGAAACCGGCGTCAGTTCTAATTAGCACCGCTGTTCGACTAGCTCATAGGCTCGGGCTTCATATGAAATCAACCTTATCACAATATTCACCGGAGGTCGCACGTCACAGAAGCAATATATTCTGGCTCTGTTATTATTTAGACAAAGTAAACCAAACATCTCTATCTTAGCTCCTCCCATGGCTAATATAATTTAGGACATCTGCTTCCGCTCGAAGATCCCCTCTATTCAATGTGATTATGATTTGGACTTGGACCTACCCGAGGACAATGGCAACTATCTTCAAAGTATTGATGGCAATTCACAACTTAATTATCTTCGGGCCAGGGTCCAACTTGCGTACCTGCAAGGAAAATTTATGACTACCTGCTCAGCAATCGGTCGATCAGATTATCGCTTGAGGCTCGCCAGGAGAGAGTTTCTCATCTTGCCGGACTCTTAAATCAGTGGGTACTAACAATACCAGAATCAATGCAGCTTGAAAAGATAACAGAAACTGTGGCAAAGGCACCGCTTTCTCATATGATCCTTCTATACCACACTTACTTAATGTGTTATACGGTACTTAACGGTCTCTACTCTCTTGAATCGCCTTGGTTAAAGGCAATTAATAGCGTTAGCGGTTCCGTTCTTCGAAGTTTCGATAACCATGCAAACGCTTGTACGAGGCACCATCAACCACTGTTGCCTCGTTTTTGGGACACGTGCGTGAGAGCTAGTCGCGGATGTTTAAACATATTAAACAATAAATGCTACAGTGGATGCAACCTATGGTGAGTAGACTACCAACCCGCGTCTTATGGAAATTATCGTTGCTAAAGACAAGTCCTTGTAGGCTCGGCGGCTGTGCCTACTTTTCGTCGGCATTTATTGTCTTGCTAGCTAACATAGTATACCATCCTTCGCACGAGTTGGTAGATCATGATCAGGAACTTACCAGATGACAAAAGAGCGTATTGGGAAGCTACTGGACTACACCGGATCAGAGTCTTTCAAGACTCTCCAAGTTGTTCTTACAAGTTTAGAGCAGGCCGCGAATTACGCGGTCGAGCGGGCAAAGAGCCTCGACAGGGCTTTTGATCCTGTACCGTCTACCACACATTCCTATTACACATATATACCTCCGTCGCAGTTTGGGACTTTTTCCAACAGCGCAAGCCAGAACTTGGTAAGTGAACCCCAACCCCAACGCGGCGTGACAGGCGCGGGGAATTATAACTAAACATATACAAATGCTATCTAGATTGGCCATCCTGAGGCACCAGCTCAGGGGGCCGCGTGGCCCCAAGATACGAGTTTCGGGATTCCCGGCAGCACGCTTGCTGGATTCGATTTTAGCGATGAGTTATCAGTACCAGATTTTATGAGAGGACTCTTCTGAGAAAAGGGACATATAAGATACACGTAATAAAACGAGGAAGCATATTGTTTAGATTGAAATACATAACAACTAAAGGTGAGAACATATACACTAGAAACAGATCCAAACGGCGATGACGATATGAAGCTAACAATTCTAAGAAGGGGGGATATTACTGATATTGATGTGCCCATGCAGCATAGAGCTCATGTATGTAATTGGATACTTTGCCAGTGGCTTGAATGATAACATATCTGGAATAGACGATTGGCTCGAGCTATGCTAATAAATGTGGAACACGGGAAAGCCAAGTTGAATTATGATGTCATGAGTAGGTGAACAAACATAACTCTGACCATTGAGAAGGTTGGGATTACAACTAAGAATGCATGTAAGGATGCATTACGACATGGGGAGCTAAGATATGTACCTATAGAGCAGTAGGATAGTGATAGAATACTTGATCGGTGATGGGAAGAAATGATAGAGAATGATGAAGGTTCAAGCCGTTGATTTGACCATTGAACCATTCGATTCCCGACCCCTCAGTTACGATACGATACCTCCTTATTTCTTTTATATTATCCTTGGTGGCTACACACCTGCATATGTCCGTCCTCTTTATGATTTCAGTCTGACAGATTATATTATTCGTAATAAGATATCCTTCTTTCCCTCCTCTTCTGCCGTTTCGTCTTGTTTCATGAATCCCGCCAGACCCCTCTTGCGACCTTCTATAGCTCGTATCTTCCTTAAGCCTAGGCTCAATCCTAGTTATAAATTACAAACCAATAATTCCATTAGACTTATATCCGTATCTGCTATTAGAGCCATGCCTCAATTCAAGCTGAAAGATGTATCCTCTTTGTCACTACAGCCTGGTGACAAACGAGAGGTCGAAGTCGAGGGTGTTGAGGGCGGTAAAGTTCTTCTCCTCAATGCCGGCGGCAAGATCCAAGCCACGGGACCCAAGTGTACACATTACGGTGCTCCTCTGGTAAATGGTGTCTTAACTAAGGGCGGTCGATTGACCTGCCCGTGGCACGGAGGTTGGTTTTTCTCTCTCGACCTTTTTCTCGTAGGCAATGAACCAGTATAACTGACCTTTACTTTTCTTTTATCTATATAGCTTGCTTTAACGGCCAGACCGGTGATATCGAGAACGCCCCTGCCTTAGACGCCCTCCCCGTCTTCAAAGTAGTTGAGAAGGATGGTGCCGTGTATATCGAAGGCGAGGAGGCAACGATCAAAGCCGCGAGACGGAAACCTAACTTTAAGTGTGGTACCAGCGGCGGGGCACAAGCTGATAGAATTGTCGTAGTTGGCGGCGGCAGCGGAGCAATTGGTGCTATTGAAGGTCTAAGGGAGAAGGGTTTCTCTGGTCCTATTACTATGATATCTAACGAAGGCTATCTACCCATCGATCGAACTAAGCTATCTAAAGCCTTAATTACAGACCACACCAAGATCCAGTGGAGGGACGAGGAGTGGTTCAAGTCAGGCTCAGTCGAAGTAGTATGACGAAGTTGTCGACGTCGATCTTGTCAGCAAGGCTGTTACTACTAAGAACAAGGAGAGGTTTGTATACTCTAAGCTGGTTTTGGCTACTGGGGCTTCACCGCGGAATCTGCCTGTGCAGGGATTTAAAGTGCTCGAGAATATCTTCCTACTTAGGACAGTTCATGACGCAAAGAAGATTGTGGACGCCATCGGTGATAAAGGTAAAAAGATTGTCGTTGTTGGTAGTAGCTTCATTGGCATGGAAGTGGCAAATGCGACAGCTGCAGAAAACGAAGTGACGGTAGTTGGCCAAGAAAGCGTCCCACTAGAGAGAGTATTGGGCAAGGAAGTTGGTGCCGGATTACAGAAGTTATTGGAAGAGAAAGGGGTCAAATTCCATATGTCAGCAGGAGTGGACAAAGCTGAACCATCTGGCTCGAGTCCATCCAGAGTGGGCTCGGTGCATTTGAAGGATGGAACAAAACTCGAAGCCGATCTGGTCGTGTTAGGTGTTGGTGTCGCACCGTCAACGGGATATCTTAGGGAGAATAAGGTAATCCGATTAGAAGAAGATGGATCATTAAAGACAGATGAGAACTTCCTCGTGACAGGACTAAAGGATCTATGCGATCGGAGACATTGCCTCGTATCCTTATCACGGTCCTGGAGGTCAGGGCAACTACACAAGAATCGAACATTGGAACGTGGCGCAGAATCAGGGACGAGTTGTGGCACATCATATCGTCAACCCGTCGTTGAAATCAGACTTCTTCACCCCAATTTTCTGGTCGGCTCTAACGGGACAATTGCGATATTGCGGTAATTCGATGCATGGGTGGGACGAGCTTGTCTTGCAGGGTAATCCGGGAGAAGGCAAATTTGTGGCATATTATTGCAAAGGCGAGACTGTGGTAGCGATGGCCAGCATGGGAGTGGACCCAGCTATGGCCAAGTCGGCGGAGCTTATGAAGATGGACGCTATGCCGTCTAAGAAGGAGCTTAAGGGAGGGCTAGACATTTTGACTGTTCCGCTACCGGCTTAGGGATGCTGTGTTCCCTGAATTAGCGTCTGTCCAGGCCATCGGGGAATTAGTTAGCTTGTGTACTACATAAATGAGGGCGAGGCGAATAGCAAGCGCGAAATGAATTTCAAGTTATATAAATAATAATTAAGTATTTGTTCTTGTATTTGTTCTTGTCAAGTACGGATATTCTTATCTTATAATTTACCTAGGTATAACTACGTACCTTACAAATATTAGGTAAGTTCTAATATACGCTAGCGTACTGCCTAATGTAAGATGCAAGGTACGCGGTATGTACCTATTAATTGGGCCAAAGTGCGTCATCGCACACCCTCGGCGCGACGTATCACAGGATAACCCAGAGGATGGCCAAGATGATCGACTACAACCAAAAATACGGTAACATGGTGATTTGTCCATGTGACTATTTACCAACCACTTCATTCAGACGGGACATTTATATGAAATAGACTTGCTTTCCTTTTACGAGCAGTTATCTCATTTGCTTCTTGACTTGCGCCTTTTATCGTGAGATGGTTTAAGATATTGACTCAACCACATGCAACATACCTACCTACATACTACTTTCAAGTACCCAAGTATCTCAAGTACTAAATACAAACTAACAGGTATGTAAAATACCTGGACAACTTTAGGTAATCTTACCTTACATATTAAAGTTAACTTTAATATTAATTACAGACCCCACACTTGATCTAATCATCCTTCACTCCACCACTCACAACCACTTACAACCACTTACACCAAGCGACGCGAGAAGAAGCCATCTTCACCTATACACCTAACTAACCTAGCTTCAATTTTGGCTTCTTTTTGTCAATTCTTTTTCTTATACCTTTTTTTCTTTACTTTTTCTTCTCCTCCTTTTTCGCAACTCTTCTTTCCGCTTCCCTCCCTCTTGTCCTTCTCGTGGCTGGCTGGACTCGAAGAGATTCGCGTCGAATAGTCTCAGCCTTTTCGCATTTTCCCGGACGGGCGAGTTGGGTGAGCGTGTCTCGCTCCACCCGTCTCGTCCACTGTGCGCCAGATAATCAAAGGAGACGTCTTTGCTGCTGCTGCCCTTACCTTGGCGACCCCCCTTAATCCAGCATGCTGATCTCCCAGCTGAACACGCGCAACGAAGCGATCCATTAGCCATCGTCATGGCTGAATTCTGTCACCCCGCCGCGGCTGCTGCCGCCGACCGCGAAGACGCCGATCTGTCCGCCGAACCCCAAGAACCAGGACCTCTGAAGTGCTGCTGTGGTTCTGTGGAGTGCATCTTTCTAAGACATAATTACTCTGTTCTCGCTAGTGTCGAGAAGGATGTCCACAATGCTGCCCGGATGGGCCAGGTACGTCTTCTGTTACGTGGTCATCACCTGTATGTCAGCTGTGTCGAGATCCGAGCCACAAAAGTTCTTATGGTAGTCTAGTCGGCTTCGCCTGCAGCTCTCTTATATCATATCACATCACATCACATCACATTCCACAGCTTGTTTATCCCCCCCCTACTATAGGCAATAGGCGAAGTGTTACGAAGTACCATATTAGGAATGCGCCTTGGTATCGTTGTGCCGTTTCACTCGTGTATTTGCAATCTGCGTTCCATAACACCTGCGTCGTACCAACTCCCTGCGCAAGTAGTCAGCGATGACGGTCTCCCAGTCTCTAACATTTGCGTTACAGGCCTTGCTCGCGCGTCACGAAGCTTACATGGCAGATGCGGAACGAGATCGTAGTGAGCTCGCTGCTCGGATCGAGCAGTTGGAAGTTGATAACAGGGAATTGGAGGCTAAGAATGCAAAGACGATTGAGGATAACAGAAACTTACTCGACCAGCTCGAGGCGCTCAACAACACGGTCATCGATTCTGAAAGTCACATTAGATCCCTCGAGGCCTCCGTCCTTTCTTCGCAACAGTCAGTTCGTAGGCTCGAGGGCGAAACGGCGCGTGCTGCTGCATTAGAGCGCCAACTTTTAGCCTTAGAGCAAGAACAGGCTGAGCTACAAACCCATCTGTGTTCCTCTCGTGAAGAAGCTAAGTCTGCCGTGTCAAGATGGAAGCGTGCTGAAAGGGGTATCAGTGACTTACAAGAGCAACTTGAGCGAATGGAAAGAGAAACGCAAGAAGAGAGAGAATACCACGTTGAAATGATAGGCCGAGTAGAAAGACAGCGTGAGATGGAAAAGGAGTTGAATACCGCCGCTGGCCGACTAAAGGGAGCGGCAGCAGCTAAATCGCTTGATCGTGTCAGTGGAGGAGGGAGCAATGCCGTATCGCACTTTGTTCGTGATCTGCTCCAAGACAACGCCAACCTGCAATATGGTATTGCCGAATTGCGGGAGATGCTTATGAACTCTAACGACGAGATCCAGGCTTTGCGCGACCAGCTCATGTATCACCAACCGTTAGGAGACGAACTAGCTAATGCTGCTTCCACGCTTAGCGCGGAGCTCGAGTCTGAAAAGGAGTCGCCTGAAAGGATACCTCCCAAGACTCCACATGAGCTTCATATTCACCACCATTTCCATTTACCGAAATCGAAACAGGAAGTGAAAAAGCCGCGGAAGAAACGACAAGGACTTGCACCCGGTGTATTTACGCCACCTGGAAGTACAGTACCAAGCACGCCTCCAAGTGGCCCCACGCGATCACAGCTCGGTTCGCATACGCATAGAGATTCGCTCCTCTCCAATTGTTGGTCAACATATTCAGACCAACGGTCTGATTTTGCACTCTCATCAGTTCCGAGCTCGCCTCTATCAAATCGTCGGAGTTCGCTTTTCGACCACCATGGAATAGACTCATTTCCCACTTCGCCCACGACCAGTATCGACCCATTATCTCCCACGTGGCATGCTACTCACCAGAAGCAGCTGTCGAACGTATCTTCACGAAGTTTCCGATTCTCAACAACATCAGCCCTCGTACAACCATTTGTTACTGACACCCATCCAATTATCGAAGAATCCGATGATGGGGACAACCCTCCAGATCTGACCTCAGCCACCGACGACTCTACCGCAGAAGATGCTGCTTCTTCCAGGGACCAAGACGTTATGATCGATGATGCTTCCGTCGTAGATAAGCCAGGCGATAATCCAATACCGATAGTCCGGCTACGTAGAGCTCTCTCGCACGAATCCATCATATCGCTCTCCGGCGGCCTTGATATCCACACGTTAAAGTCTCGGCCGAGCCAGCTGACAATCCGCCACATAGGTTCGGCCTCCTCTGTGACGGGTAGTAGTGATATTACGGCGCGGCCTATGTTGTTACGCGATAGCGCAAAGCGAAGCAGCACGTTACTCCGCGAAAGCTATTCCTTGTCGCCAGTAGGAAGTTTGCAATCCGTCTCAGACTCATCCATGCTGGGTTTCGGGTCGTCAAAACTCGGTAAATGGGTTGGCTGGCGACCATGGGGTGGCGGTGGTGGTGGCACCGGTGGAGATAGTAGCTCTACTGCGAGCAGTACGTCCGCAAAGACAGCCAAAGATAATACTCAAAAGTCGAGTGATCGCCCTCCTGGTCGTCCTCCTGGTATCAATCAGCAGGGCGCGATACCCGGTTTTTCGGAATACTTAGCTGCGGCTCAACGAAGAGTGCCACCCCCCAAGATCCGACCTGTCGATGTGGATCGCGATGCGTTGAGGGAAGGGCTCGGGGAATAACGACATTGGCGTATGCTTTCTTGGTCGACCTGGCCAGCTTGGAATTCGATTATCGGGATGCAGTGTCCCGTGTTTTCGCCTGTACTATACATCAGACTCTGCAAGCCCTGGCTCCTAACGCACACTGTTCGGTTACTATATTCCGAACTGCATATGTATGCGCATACCCGATGTTAGGTCATTGGATAGGACGCACTATCAAGCCATTTTTTTTTTCCACGTTTCTCTTTTTTGCATTCAGCATCGGGGGGAGTTAGGTCGTTGGACATATTCAGGCAGGATAAGACCGCAAAGCCGAAAAAGTATACAGGATGGGATGGTATAACATGGACATATGATACCCCTGAGAACAGCCAGTCAAGTTTACTCGCCAGCTCTCACCGTACTTTCTTTTGTCTGTCCATATCATTAGGTAATGTAATGTTTGTTTTTTATTACTTTTTTGCCCGCAAATACATTTGCTTGTCTTGTACTGTATATTCTACGTCTAGTCTAGATATGGTATTCGTTGGGGGGGATGTATAACAGGTGGTTAGACAAGTAGTAACTAAGACAGATGTCTGTCGCGCAGAGAGTGAGAGAGATAGAGAAAAAATGGTAGTGTATACTCGCTTTGCGCCCGCCGGCCTATATACCTACCTAAGGTACCTAAATATATGGCTTCTTGAAATTCTTATAATGTAAGAATGCCCGCCTAGTGGCATGATTTGTGAGAGAATGTCATTACTACGCCGAGTTGATGCAGATACAGATATTAATCCAGCAATTTGAAAAACCCGCTATAACTCTGTCGAGCATATGAATTATGACTCTACATAGAGAATAACCTTCATCAACTCGTATCAGATATGTCAAACTCCTATATACACGTCCCGAATTTTTACAAAAACGCTATGCGCGGCTACAACATTAAACTATCAAACCTATTTCTATTTCTATTTTTATTTTTATATTCTTCAAGACTGTGTCAAAATATGACAAGACGGAATGTATAAATACGGCTACATAGGTATGTAAGATATATAAGTACCTATATATACGTACGCATCTCAATCCCAAGCTAGAGTGCTAGCAGTCTCCCCATGCGTGCCAACTAGGTTACAATATTATGAGCATATATATATTAGGTACCTAGGTAGGTACCTAGCTAATGTAGGTATGTAAACCGCCCTGATAAAGACAATAGTGTAAGATAGGGCAAATTCCCTCTGCTTAGTCTAATACACAGAAGCAACCAGATTACAAGCTATAAGCAAAAAAATATGATAACTCCTCTACCCGGCCTTCGCTATGCTTATTTCGCACTTAGTTTACCCGGGGAGCTTATAGATAAATAGGTCTTTGTAGGCCTAGAACGGAAAGGGTGTCGTTTAGTCACTGTTAATTCGTTAGCCATTTCGATGTCTCTTATTATTAAGTGATGCGCAAGATTAATGGGTAGTACGTATATTTCCTTGGGTGCCAACAGGTCGGCCTGATACAGCCAATGGTTATCCTTCTCCTCGACTTCGAGCCAGTCGTAGGGGAACTGCACCAGCGTCCCTTGAACCAACCCACATAGCTCCTCCGCTTCATCGCGGCTGAGGAGCTCATACGGGAAGGTCGGTCCGCGTCGGCTACCCTTAGTAGTGGCTCGTCGGCGGCGCCTCACCGAATTATGGTTGTAGGGGTTAGCGGTGCTGCCAGATTCTGGCGCAGACTTCTCGGCCGATGAAAACGTAGCCCGCCGATCCCGCTTCTCACCCTGGGGCTCCAGGTATGTGGAATCGACCTGGCCCTCATACGCCGGGAATGGAGTATCCCCGGCGGGCTGTACTAGCGAAGGTGTGTCGAGGGAATTCTTAGTACGAACCCTCTCTGGGTCAAAGCCAATATCAGGCCTCTCTTTTTCAGGAGAATGGTTGCCCTCGGAAACCGGGGCCTTTTCGTTCAAAACACTCGTACTTCCATTGGAAACTACGACTTTAGGATTGCTCTCGGCGTGTTGATTATGGAGCTTCTCGGAGATATCAGGAGCTCCCTGTGCCGCGGCTGGTGCCGCAATACCTGCTGCTGCTCCACCAATGTGGCTCATATGGCTCGCCTCGGACTCATCATTTCTTGGTCCTGCCATGCTCTCCTTAAATCGGCGCGCATAATCTTCAAACTCATTGTATTCCTTCCACGTGGTTACGTCACTGTCAGGCATACATCGGAAAACCCGTCGATATAGCTTCGTATTATTCGAGGCAACTCTCATCCAGATATCATCCCAGAAAGCAGAGTTAACAGGATCGCGCATGCAGTCCTTGTCAATCCGAGCTTGTACGATATCCGCAACTAGAGGGTTTAGGGGCTCGTTTGTAGGCCTTCCCGAATCGTCCAATCTCATCGGCGGACCGCCTATATCGGTATCATCCAGGATTGGCAATGCTGGAAGCTGTACAGGGTGCGGCAATTGAGACCTTGCTGACGGGTCTGACTGGACCGGTGGCAATTCATCATTCCCTTTGCTAAGGTTACGCTGTGATGAATCCTTAGAAGACGTCTCCGGGTGCAGCTCACTGGCCTTAGTGTCTGCCTTATGACTCTTGGAGCGACCCTTTCTATGAAGGAGGACCTCGTGCCCGTTCATTACAACTGAATCACTTCCACGATCAATTCCTTTAGCTTGCGCCGCCTTCCAGTTATCCGGCCCATAACCCTCGACGTCCTTGATATGCCTTTCATTTTCGTGTACTCGTGGGTCACGATCTGGCGAGTTGCCTCTTGAACTAGACGAAACAGACGACGCAGCAGAAGAGGCAGACGCAGAGCGAGGACCTTCTTCTGCGGCAACGTCATGGTTGAAACTTCGTCCACGATGGTACTTGCTTGGCCCCGCGGGCTCTGAACTCTCCGCAGCTGGATTTTCATCATCATCTCCATACAATTGGTTCATCTCGGCTTCGAAGCGGGCTTCGGCACTAAGCTCTGCTTGCCTCTCCTCTTCTGTTATCTCATCTACGTCTAGTCCAAGATGCTCTCTCATTAGACGCATACGAAGAGTGTGGGCGAATCGGCCAACTTGGTAAGTCTCTCCTGCCATTGTTGACCACATCATATCTGTATCTCGAACAACAGCAGCAACTTCAGAGTCTCGGTTGCCTAGCATTGAGCGTTCGTTAATATTTGCTGACCCTATCAATGCAACACGGTCATCCACAATGATGGTCTTAGCGTGAATATAGAGTTGCTCGGTTACGATCTGATCATGAGCACCGATCCGACCCCATTGCCTCAAACTAAAGAACGAGATATAATCTTCTGGTTCTATACCAACGGCTTGTAACCGTCCAAAAATTGAATTTGGGCCTCGGCATATGCTTCGGTATTGGAATTGCATGATCAAACGAACGCTACTGCCCTCGGCTTGATCAACCGTATTTTGGAAACCAGGCATGAGGGGGATTAAGATGCAACAACGCCATTCCTCGCCTTTCTCGTGGGCTCTAATAATGCGCTCGACTAGGGCATCCCCGATACGGTTGACCACCCTAGTGTTCATAGTCTCGGTACTCGTAATAAAAAACTGGTTTTCCATGTAGACGAAGTGCTCAGATTCTTCAATGAGCTTTACATATGCTGACTGGATACTGTGTTCCCTTATATCTTTCGGATAGCCTAGGGACCAATCGCCTGCTGAACGTAGGATCTGGACTTCGCACGTTCCAGATAGACCAAGAGCCTCAAGATCTACCGGATTAGCGTCGGGGGGAGGAAGTAAGAAGGGGGTAGGCCGAGTAGGTTTGCGTTCACGCCGTAGGTAATTCCATCGTTGTACAAAATGGCGGGTAAGATCACGCGCCGGCTGACCAACTACTTGCATCGCAATATCGTGCCAAGGCATCCTTGGTACCTTACTCCTATCGTACATTTCTTCATAAGGCTCGTTCAGTTTGAAGAAGTCTAAGACACGAGGATTTGAATAATCTTTGCCAGGGAAAAGCTGACAATGTTCTGCGTCTCGGGGGCTGTCCCCGTCCGGCTCCATGCCAGTTGGTCGATCATCTGCAATTGGGTGCTGTGGGTTATCCCAACGGCCGAAACAAAGATCGATTCCTCCAAGGAAGGCTACATCGTGGTCCACAATGCAAACCTTCTCGTGGTGGGCGTAAAAGAATTGATTCTTTTTCAGCTGGTTCGGTGACCTCAGGACTAGGATATTATCGTGGAGGTTAAGGAGCGAGAACTTTGTGTACTCCGAGTCTATAGGTATAGCTTGCTCCACGTTTCTGTAAATGATGATAAATACCTTGACGCCTTCTCTGGCTTTCCTCTGGAGCAACCGATCCAGACGCCACTTTTGGCTAATGCACGCCGGTCGTCGCATATACAACTCGGGGCTCAACCACCAGTCATGAATGTAGATGACATCTTGCGCCATGCTTATAGCACGGGAAACATTCCACATATAGTCACGCCCATCGACTAGCCACTGAGCAAATGCTGCTTTCCGTACAGGTGCAAAGCTGTCAAATCTATGAGACTCGTGCCATTGAGTCTGCTTCAGCATATCAACGACAGATTCTTCAAATTGACGAAGTACTGTCTGATTACGGGAGAACAATTTGATCTTTCGATCTGCAGAATATAGCTTCAGTGTGTGGTGTTTCCCATGGGATTCTTCGTCAGTAAGATGATTGTCTTCATCTCCTCTGTCTTTCTCGACTTTCAACTTTGCCCCGAAACGTTTGAGCTTGTTCTTCTTAGATACGACGCGGAAAAGCGGATCAACAAGATAAACATCATAAATATTCATAGTTGCCGGCGATTCGACAACAGCGATATAATTCTGAAAAAAAAAACCATTTTCGAGAGTGCCGCGCTATGACCTTTTGCGGATTCAGCACTCGTCGAAAGTCGATACCTTTCGTAGATTGTATATGCAGGTAGCATTCTTTTCCGTGAAAACTACCTTCGGCAGCCAGTCGCACACCGAGGGCGGAGAGCTCTAAGAATTTGCAGAGGCGATTACTGTCAGCACGGAACATGAGCCAGTGAACCATCTCTTGTAGGTATTTCTCCAAGGTTTTCCTCTGCCTCTCAATATATTTCTTCTTTAGTGCTGCCGAATTCTGAGCACCCGCAAGTGACGTCTCCCCGTTGTCTCCAAGTCCTGAAGATTGTCGGCGTGGCAAGAATGTGTTGATGCGCGATTTCTTCCTAGAGTTATTTATCCGTCGATCGTTGTCGCTAGCTGTATTTTCAGCAGCGGTTCCTTCACCTGCGGTGCCTTCAGCAACTGTATCATCGGCTCTAGTCCCCGGTGGTTTTTCATCGTCGTCGGATTCCTCAAGGTTTTTGGTAAGTTCGTAAGTAGGGGAAAGCTTTTCTAGGAAACCGAGGTTGTTTAGGGCGATTCCGTTGGTTTACCGTAGTCTGAAGTGTGATGTCGTTTTTCAGAGATAGTCTGTACTTCCAATGAATATTCCAGATTTCTCTAACGCTACGGGTAACGGTCCATCTCATTCGACTAAGTCCACTACCATACTCCAAGGCGATTGTAAAGATAGTGTCTCTCACTAGTGCTATCTTCTGGACGACTGTCGATGACCCGTAGGTTAAGCTGCTCAAGAAGGACAGGTATGCGCTTGTTCCCATGCTCGTCTCGCTGCAGCATACTGGCGAGGATGACAACAGCCGGCGTCACAGCCCGCAGCTCAGCCATGAGCTCGGCAGATTTGTAGAAATCGAACTGATCTGTTCTCCTCTTACCAAGCATTTTCAGCGTATGCTTCACCTGCCTCCATCTCTGAGCACCGAAAGTTGCAGCTCGATCCGCGCCTAAGAATGGTCGTCTTGGTGCTGTCAACCAGTCGCCATCTGATACTCCGCCGCCTGCTCCAAACATCTCAGAAATACGGCGGCGATGACCAGGTGTGCGAGGTTGAATATCAGCATCATCGGCACTGGGATGCCCGGTCCGCTGTGAACCAATCCACGAGCTCCCACGCGTCCATGCAGGCCGCCGACCAATTAGGTGGTCACGACCTTCTCCCTCAGACATCCCACCACGGTGCTCAGCGGCCTCAGGCATCGTTGAGCGTCTGACCATAGTATTCAAACGGCCTGTCCTGGGTGAGTCAAGATCATCAAGCCGTGGAGAATTCGGAGCGGTAAACATTTCTAACTGCTTTAAACGGCGTCGCTCCTCTTCCTTTTGCTCTTGGGCGCATCCCTATCTTGGCCTTCGTCAGCACTCGCCTCCACATCAGCATCGCTTCCTTCCTCTTCATCTAGTGTATCCGGAACACGATGAGACCGGCCTACGACTGGAGAAGTATTAGCCGGGGTGGATGCATGCTCAGAAGCTCCAGGGGACTTGGGTGGCTGGAGGGCACCAGAGCTACCCAAAGTCGATCTCAGCCTTGAAATCCATCTTTCGCTACGAGATCTATTCCTTGAATCCTCTTCGTCCTCGTCCCATGATCCATGTCTAACATGTCGTGGAGGCTCAAGCAGCACATCCGTGCGAGCAAACTGTACACTACGCCGTCCAGGTGAAGTTGGTTCACCCTGTGCTATAGCATATCCGTCCGGTATTTGCACTTCAGAGTTTCTGAGGGGAGACGGAGATCGTACGACGGTGGCCTGGCTTAAGAAATTAGGCGTCGAGTTATTGAAGGGGGAGAGGCTATCGTGCGGCCGCCCTCCGTTCAGATAGTCAGTTGGTTGTTCCGAGTCTGACTTCGAAGTAGATTGGGTCGACGATGCATCAGGAAGTGTGGTAGAGTATGAACGGGTACAGCAGCGGTCGGTAGATTGTCGCCCGGAGATGTAGAGGACGGCGCGTCAAGACGTGTATGTATGGGAGAAGAGGTACGGGGACTCCCCGTCATAGGTGAAACCGAATCATCTTGGTCTAGAGTGGACATATTACGTGCCAGGTTAATGTCCAATTGCTAGAGGACGTAACGTTTCTGTTCCAACTCGAAGCCAGTCTAGGCTTTCCCGACTGAGCGGAAGATGCAAACGTCCCTTGCAGCTCAGACCGTTTTCTTACTTGCGTTAGATAGTATTTGCATTCCCACGGACGAGATGTAACAGGATTTGCTAGTGTTGAGTCCCGCGTGGATTCGAACTAAACGTGTAGCTGTCGAATAAAAAGGAGTGTAGCTGTCCAAGGTGAATTATATTGATGTAAGAGGTAAGTTAGGTAGGTATGGGTATTGCAGGTATGCATGTAGGTGGATGCTTGAATGCTTGGATGCTAAATTGTCCCTATTTCAAAATGTAAATGTACTGATAATAACCTTATGTATGATACCAAGGTACTGCGTCTTATGTCTCCGTATCTGCACACTAGGGATCCACTAAAAAGTAAAGCTAGCTGAAGGGACTAATCAAGCTGAGTGGAATTTATATAGCCAGCAGGGGGGTCCCGTGTCTTATCGATAGGTTAGTTAAGGCTCATTTTAGGGGTTCTCATTACAATCTGTTAACCTTGTCCCAATTTTGGAAGTGGGACGTCATCATCAAAAGCCGGTTCTAAAAACATAAAAGTTTTTGAGTTACTTTTCTAACCAAACGTTCTCCTTAGCATGATAATCTCGAGCTTCGTAAACAAGCGCCCCACCCAAATTATGCAGTACCAACTATATTAGTATCGCGGCCATCGCACTTAGTTCCGATACCTGATCGCTTTCATAGGTTACAGATCTTTTCCCCCTATCACTAATACCCAAGATTGGTTCTAGGAGATGAACGATTATCCTCTTACTAGTAATAACTTCCCGCCCTCCTAACAACACAACCATAGTGAGATTGGAGATATCTAGACCTAAAATGCTATTATCTAAGGTAAGCAGCTTAGATAAAAATAGGCCTAGATAGGTAAGCTTCGGAGTACAGACTTAGTGGGTAGTTAGTAACTAATAAGTTAGGTATCACAGTCCAATTATAGCGTTAGAACAGACCTTATACTACACTTAACGTGAGCACACGTTATGAGTCAAAACAAGATTTTAAACCTGTATTTTAACCTAATGTTTTTTAAGCTCTTTTGTAAAAGTTGAATCTTTTTAGAATATCTTGAGCAAGACATTATCTCGATTTTGTCTACTTCTTCTCGAATATTAATTTCCGGCTTTTTATGTACGGAAAAAAAAACAGCTGAATATTTAACATGTTTTAGCCCAAGTTATAAATATACAAGCCATATAGATGTATAGGTAACTATTCCAATATGCCTCGTTCAAATAAGACTCGAAGGCACTCACGAGAAGTAACAAAGATACTACTTCTCCGTATAACATCAGAGGAGAAGAGAGTGAGTTATACTAATAACATGTCTCAAGACTTATGGTAATTAGACCAGATTCATAGGAGACGTACAGGTATATAAGAAAAGAAACTATCTTAGTGTGTATACACAATGTCATGAGTTTGTTCACACTAGTTCTTGAATCATAGGTAATAATAATATACCCAACATTTCTCAATAATCGCCTACATCTATATCAAAAGTAAAGATATAGAGTTTTCTATGAAATGTTTCTTCAAGTGCCATCGGAAATCATAGAGCAAGCGCGAACATGCGAAAGCCAAGAGGTAACGCCATGGCTAGTAATTTCATCTATTTGGGTTGTATGTTGAAGTTGTAGTGGTAGTGGAATGAAAGGGGTTTACACAGGGATGCTTCAGCGACGGTGTATCATGATCTCAACTATATGCGATACCGGCTTTCTACCTATAAGAGATAGCTTGCGTAGTTCAGGTTCCCGCTCCATATGCATGTGCGCCGATAACTTGGTAGCATTTATATTCATGATGTATACCTAAGGCTTAGCAAACGATGCTATCATTCTGTCCACATTGTCTCACAATATCCTCATAGAATATCCAAGTCTTCTCCAACTAAGAACGAGGACTGTTGCAATAATATTATCAATCGAGATCCTGCTTGTATACGCGTATAAGTGATTAGAAGACATATTGACCCATCTATCACAACGGTCCCCCAGCAAAGCTGTTCCTTTCAAGTACAGATACGCAGCACAAACACATCTTATAATTTATTCTGTGAGGGCTAGGTCCCCTCATTGTTTATCTCGACAAACGATGGAGGGACTGAGCCAAATCTTACGCCCTATCGACGACACGGGACTCGGGTGTGGAGAACCTACCTCGAATATATCTTACATCGTAGCCCTACAATAAGGATATAACCCGGGAATCGCCCCTCGGCTATAGATAGGTAGATAACTTTATGTGGATGACCGACGACCTTATCCGCGAGTGAGGAAAAGACAATGAACAAGTTCCGATTCTTGGATATCCCGGTACAACCATAGTGCTGCCGAATATGAGTAATTCACGGATATCGAAACCGATCTCTTTGGCGCGGGAGTAGATAGTCTACGCGCTGTTCAGATACGCAGGTTATTGCAACGAGACCTCGATCTTGGCTGAAATTCGTTACGTACCTCTAACGTCGTCTACGATGCAGGATCTGTAGCAAGGCTCGCGCGATTCCTCTATGCAATGCGCACCGACGAGGAACTTGAGAATGCACGCCCAAGTGACGATGATGAATCATTGAAGATGCAGAGGATCATTGCTGGCTATAGTAAATTTCAAAAGTCGTCACCAGGGAGTCTGCCGATACCTGAAAGAGATGTTGTGGTAAGCCTTTCCCACGACCCCCCCTTTTTATCCGGTGTTTGCAGAGTAATAGACATATGTAGATTCTCGCGGGTGCAACTGGCGCCCTCTGCGCGCACTTACTCAAGCAACTCCTCGACGACCCTAAGGTAGAGTGTGTTGTCTGCCTTGTACGGAGTAACGACGCCATAGGTCGTATCGCCGAGTTCATAAAGATTCGGAAACTTGACGCACGTGTGAGCGACAACAAGAGGCTGACAGCTCTGAAAACGGACAACCTAGGCGCTCTAAATCTTGGCCTCTCGTCAGAAAGCTACTCAGACCTGCAGCAGTCGGCGATCCTTATCATCCACGCAGCATGGCCGGTAAACTTCAACGTATCTCTCACGAGCATGATCCCTCACATAGCTGGACTGCATAATCTCCTACATTTGACATTAAGAGTATATCGACCGCGTTCCAAACACCCACGCCCGCCATTGTACCTCGAAGGGCCCTTGTCGTCTCTCAGCTTCGCGGCGCCAACTGGGTACGCGCGCTCCAAGCTCATAGGCGAGCAGGGGTGCGGTTGGCGTCTTACGCATAGGACAAATCTCAGCCGACACCGGCAACGAAAATCTGGAATGATAAAGAGGCTATCCCGATCCTAGTCCAGAGCGCGACAGAAGTCCATGCGCTACCAAAATCACGACATTTATGATTGGATGCCGGTAGACACGGTAGCTCATGCGTGTCTGCAGCTTGCCGAGAAGCTCGCTACAAATACGAACAACCTGTCATTCTATAATATCAAACCGCCGCATAGATTTTCCTGAAACAAAGGTTTCTTGCCCGCATTGTGGAAGGCAAGATTGCAATTCAAGGGTGTTGATCTCGGAGAGTGGCTCGCGAGGTTGCGCTCCCGAGCTGCGGATCTAGGGCCGGCTGGTGAAGTAAGACTGCCTGCTTTTAAGCTCACTGACTACTACAAAGATACGTATAGCGGCTTGGGTGTTGGTTTAGGTCATGAGTTGGAATTTAATATACCGAAAGCTTGTTGTGATAGTAGTGCTCTCCGCTTGTGCCCAAATGTCTTAGACATCGATCTTGTGCCAAAAATGTTGTGGCATTGGTTACGCGGCACTGCTACAATTAAACAACAGTGAAGAGATAGTATTGCAAGGGATGGAGTAGGTAGTTATCTCACTAGATATTGCGTAGAGTGAAGCGATGTGAACAAATTAGGGGGTATCAATTAGACGATCTCTCCTCAGGCTATTGACACTATGGTTGAATATATACCTAGGTGCTCATAAGGCTCATGACGCGTAATACAAAAGTAAAGACGACCTAGCTTTAATATAGGTAGTTCTGTAATTCGGAAGAGGCTCTTAATCCAGACCTAAACTCCGATAAGTTCCAATGGGAGAATAATCATTACAATAACCTCATCATATCGGCATCAGAACCCGTAACACCTAATCATGACTCGTCACCAACCAGGCTACCAACTCTCATCATTTATACCTACTCGCCTCGACTCCGATAGTTACCCATCTTCTCAATAGAACTCATGATGCCGCTCCGCATAGCTGTGCCACTACCGGGGCGTGGTAGACCCCCCTGAGATCCACCATTCCTACTCCGGTCATGAGCAATGCCACCAATTCTACTCTCTGTCGGTTTCTTTACCGACCCGGGAGCTCTAAGACCCGACGGCCGGCTGCCGATGCTGTTGCGAAAATTCTCAGGGCGGGCGTGCGGAGTCTTGGTAACAGTCGGCTGTGACGGCGGCGGCCGCGGCGGCGGTTCAGTCTGGATAAGACTCTGCATCGCCATCAATTCTTCGGCTAAGATGACAAGCTCGCCCTTCTCGACGCGCTCCTTTTCGAGGAGCTGGCGGAGCTCATGATTATCCATCTTAATGCTGTCGATGACAGCTTCGAGTTTCTCGATCTCGGCGCCCATTTCCTTGATCTGCGCCGAGTTCCTGATAGCCTGGACCTTGCGTTCCTCGTCTGCGAGAGTTTGATCGGGATCAACCCTGTTCATGGTGACGTCCTGGTCGAGTCTTAGTTTCTCGTTCTCCTCGGCAAGCCCCTCGATTCTAGACTCGAGCTCATGAACCTTCTTTTCCCAGCGGTTCTCATAGCTCTTCTTCAAGGCTGCAACCTTGGCCTCATGTTTGCTTTTGTAAAGTACGTGTAATTCACGAGCCACACGCTCCACAGCGATTTCGACCTCGCGAGATCCGGTATTCTTAGTCTTATCGGGAGACTTATTACCACTCTCCGCTTCTGAAGTGGCTTTGCCAGCGCGCATGCCTGCCATTTTACTCTCTGCCTCCTGCGCCATAATCTCGGCGGCCTCGCGTCGTTTCTCACTCTCATCTAGCTTAGATTCGAGTTCCTCGCGCTCTCGCTGGCTCTTTCCGATTTCTTCTTTAACCTTGCGGAGTACAGTCTCCATCTCCCGGCTGCGCGCTTCCCAATTCTCCCTCTCCTCGGTCATCGCTTCCTTCATCGCCCTTTCTTCACGAACCTGTTCCATGCTTTCGCCCACCCGTTTTTCAGCATCGCCTACCGCCGTCTTGAGAGCTAAAACTTCGGCTTCTTTACCGCTAAGGGAAGCCTTAAGGCTACTAATTTCGGAGAGGAATCCCGACTTGAGCGACTCCAATTCTCTGGGTGTTACGGTAGGTATACTACGAGGCGTGGGAAGAGGTGGGATATCGAAATCGAGCAAATTAGACTGTTGGCGCTGAGGCGTTGCGGCAATAGAATGCCTCGGATTTCTGTCGAATGATTGACTTCGATTCGGTGTCTGTTGTACATATCTGGACGAAAAGCCACCCATCTGTTCTGTAAAGTCCATGAGGAGATTGGTGGTGTTTCCGGATTCATGCATCGTAGGAGGCCGAGGGGTCCTCAAAGGCGATGGCTCCGGTTTACTCCGCATAGCGAGGGGAGTAGCGCCCGTGTTGGCGAACTTAGTAGGACTATGTCCAATTCTTGCGAACATAGTCATATTTGGCACCGCAGAAAAATTACTTAATGTGCTGATCATGGTATCGTCTGGACCCAAGGATTCATTGCCGACTGGCTGATCGCCAATTGACGTAGACGTATCAATTTCGTTATCTTCGCCATCATCAAGCGTGGTATCATCGTCTTCAAATATCTTGATAGCAGTTGCCAAACCCTCGTTTCTAAGAAGCGCTTCATCAATGGATAAATGATGCTCCTTAATTTGGTGTTTCTGGGTCTCCGGGGTTGGAGATGGGGTTGAGGTTGGGGATGGGCTGCTATTGATTTTAACAGGAAAACGTTTCTCTGGTGATATTTTTCGTGGGCTCTTAGCAGCCGCCAACTTTCTGGGTGTAGGGGACTCTTCCTCAACAGTGTTCTCTTTCGTAATTAAAATCTTCAAAGGAGAAAGTTCGGTGCCGGACAATATTCTAGAATGGCGCGACTTGGAGGGTGAAAAGTTTTCATGGCTTTGACCGTTCTTATCTTTTTCCTCGTGCGTTTGCGATGCGAGGACGGGACTTGAGCTGCCAGTATCGCTAGCGATATGTTCGCTACTCATCTTGGGAGTATGGGAGCTGATATTGTATATATTAACTTGACGGTTAGTTTGAGGGGTTGTTAAATTCAGCACACCGGTACTAGAAAGACAAAGCGGTGAAGCCATCCAGGCTCAAAAAAAAAAACGCTAATGATTGCTGTCAAGACAGTATCGAGGATTGTGAGGGATTAATGGAGACGAGTAGTTACTCTAGATGTATCTTGAATCTACAGTTTAACGCATAGCATACATTAAGTAGCTTAAGAGCGGAGGAGGGCGGAAAGCGGAGGGTGCCGGAAATTGGTTTCTTTTAGTTGTGTCCAATTTAATAATTGATTTCCATAAAATGTTTGTTCATTTCTGGTTGACGGAGAAACGGTAGTACCTGTGCGTCAGGGCATCCACATACGTAATCCCTGCATTATCGCTCAATTTAGGGCTTAGCGTCATCCCTTGTACCACGTGAAGTAACCAGATGACAGATAAAAGAATAACTGATAAGCAGGAAGGTCCCTGTTTATCTGCAGTGTCCCTGAGAAGTTGTCTCCAAGGGGAGGTAGTGGACATTGATGTTGGTAATGTTAATGTTGTGCAACATACCCCTTTTCTTTTAGTCAAATAAAATCAATTTCAACTCATCTCTAGTGTCATGCATCATGTATCCATACTACATATGTACCTAATCCATACCGCTAGTATAGACTGTTTATTTCATACATAGGAGAATTTAATAGTCCAATGAGACATGCAAATGAGACATGCAACGAGACGAACAAATGGCACTGTGGCGGGTAAGTTCTTCCCAATGGCTTAAAAAATAAATATAGTATTCTAATTCTCTCTCTCAGAGTGGTCTAACGCGTGTGACTCGAAATCACATCTCTTCGGAGGCGCCCGTTCGAATCGGGCCAGTGTCGCGCATCAATTTTTTTAATATTCAAAAATGTAAAATGTAAAATGTAAAATGTATATCATCTTTCCCACCTACTTATCCTCAATAATATACTTCCGTACCCAGGTATACATATATCACACAATATATAATACTAAATCCCATCTTATCCATCTTATATCCTCCCCATCCACAACATATAATAGATGTTCGCTCTATCGCTATAAATTATTTGAGTCTACTTCGTTTTCGTTCTGCGTCTTTTCAATGGCCGCTCCTCTGGCTCTTCAGAATCGCCATCGCCGTCCTTCAAGACCCTCCGTATCGACCCTCTGTCGAGGAAGTCCAATTCTTTCAATTCTTGTAACTTCCAATAAACCCACCAGAATCTTCAGCGGGTAGCTTATTAGCACAGCGATAGTTAAAGGTTCGGGTATAACTTACGAGCGTCCGCTATTAGTTAGTTCGTCGATCAACCATACTGCTAGTGGTTCACGAGCTGATCGAGATAAGTCGTAGAATTGCGGGTCGTTATAAATGCTTCTGATAACATAACTCCGTATAATTCCCCCCACGGTGCTATGGTTACAGGTTATCTCGTTCCACCTTCCCCAATGCCTTAATGGGTTTCTGATCCTTGGCGTGCTCCGACCAGATATCAGTAAGTGAAAATGATGGAATTTACGCGCCCTTATTTCTCTAATGAGTTCCAGAAATGGGCTCTGTCTGTTTTTCGGAAGTTTGTCGAACCCATCAATCACCAGGTACGTCTCGCCTGGTTCGATCGGCTCATTTGGCGTAGTGGATCTTTCGTGACCCAGATCGTCTATGATCCTCAGGAGGACATTCCGAAGTTCTAAATTGGTAGGATGCCTTGCAGGATGAAATTCTGTACACGCAGTATATAATTCTCGAAGGGCTGGGTATACGGTCTTGGGCGGGCAGAGTTGATCAATAACTGTACGACAAAATGCGCCGAAGTCGTGGTAGACAGGCGTCGACTCTTTCTCCAACACGTCATGTGTAGCGCAGAAAAAGTAGGCGAGAGAGTCTCGGGACCGGCCAGGGGCCTCTAAACGACAGTTCTGCCTTGTACTGTCTATGACCGAGGTACAGAAGATTGTCTTGCCAAATCCCCCTATAAATGTATACGATTAGCAACACCGATTTAAGGAGAATATAACAAAACTACCTGGGTATCTAGACATACCGGTACCAGTCACCCACACGTATGAAGAACTGTCCGTCTCCCAAAAATTCGGGAGGTTTGTGACTGATTGGTGAAAAGGAGTTACTTTGTCCTGGACATCAGAGTTGTCATTAAGAAACTGGGTTTGATCGAGAGGAGAAAGCCAACGGTGGATATTAATCCTCTCGACGTTATCTACATTCTCGTGTACTTCAAGCTTAAGTTAGATTTATCATAAGTTTATCTTCTCAAATTACTTACTGGTACCCTCGCGCCTCTCACTCGGCTCTAGTATGCCCTTCAGCCAGAGGGCAATATCATCGCGAGTCTCGCACGTAAGATGATTCAATGGCATATGAGGTATCTCGTTTCCTACGGTTTTTGGAAACAACACATAATGGACGGGCCCTCTATTTTCGTATTTCTCCCCGACCCAACGCAAAAGCTGACCCCAATTAGGGTCATCTAAACCTCCGCCTGCTCCAACTGCGCGGATAAAATATGTCACGTTAGCCTTCAGGACTTCCTGCACAACTACATCATCCAGACAAACGCTGAAGAGAAGTTGTAGGAATAATGATCATTCCACTTACTGTCATATGTTAGCTGCTGTAGATGGATTTAGAGAAAAGGGAAAAATAACACTGTATTAGAGACCTCAGGGCTGCTCATACATACCTGACTACACGAAAAAAAGAAAAGTCATATCAGTTAGTTTTAACTTCAATACGGAATATTACTTGGAGAGAATAATGCAATCCTGCTTACTATTAGATGTTAGCTGATGTGGATGAATTACTAAACGAAGGATTAATTTGGTATTTATTTAACGTACCACAAAATGGTTCTAGTAGAAATTATATGTACCAGAGCCTCCTGGACGGCTTCGTCATTGATCACGTCCTAGTAGGATAATAAAACGTCCTATTAGCTTCCAAACACCAATCTTTATATGGGCAGTGAGCGTATTGTCTAATGAGCTCTGTAGGATATCGCCAAGAGAGAGAGCAATAATTTATTGAACTTACTATAATGTGTTAACTTGGTAATCTACCCATCGAATTATTCAAGCACCCTGTAAAATCAAAGACTAGGATAGATTTAACGTACCCTGATAATGTCGTGCAGACAAAACGATGTTTTCGGGATCCTTCCAGTGACCATGAGGATGGAAAACGCCGTCAAAAGACTTTCGTTGGAATGACACTATTTCATATTCATCCGACCTCCGACTGGAGGAATCCCGCAATGTTTTTCAAGTAAGTCATCATAATTAGTAGTCAATAGCATCGCACCATTCCGGTGAAGTTGTCTTAGGCTGTCAAGAATACTTCTATCGACAGTAATGTCGTATAATGAATGGAATTGATGTTTTAACCAACCAGCAAAAAGGTCGGGACGCTTAGTAAAAAGCGTCTCTAGCCTGTTTATGGCTTCGAATTGGTCCTGCATTGTCCGGTCCGGAAGGCTCAATAATTCTCTCGCTCGCTCGATATCGCGTCTATGTCGATCGGCGATTTGCTGAGCTTGGTCTTCGATATATTGAAACCCATTCTCGATTAGACCACCCCACTGTGTAGAAGACGGCAAATGTTAGATATTTCTTCTAATAACCAAGGAATTTCTCATTGTATTGGATAAGTCTTTTTCATCATGCACCCTGGAAGGCTCTGGTCGGGGTCCGGCCACAATTAGGACATGCTATGAATAAAACAAATTTGGGTTACATACTCCCATACGTCTTCTCTCTGTATCAGGGATCGCGTGTAGAGTTACTCCAGATCCAACGCATATTACCAATCTCCCAGCTTTTAATTCCTGTCGGAGTTTATGTAAAGCTTCTGTTTGTCTTCTGTTGGCTTCTTTTTCCCTTTCAAGTTGGTCAGGATCGACGACATTTGTAGTCTGGCCTTGCTGTGGCGATGGCTGAGGTGCTAGTTGCGGAGCCGGGGCAGGTGCAGGTGCCGGTGTAGGTGTTGGTTGTGGAGCCGGGGCTGGTGCCGGTATTGGTGTTGGTGTTGGTTGTGGCGGCGGCTGTACGGCTGGTGTTCCGGGGGTTGGGGGCGTTGCAGGTCCTCCAGATGTTGTAGATGTCGCGGGTGTCGCGGGTGTCGTGGGTGTTCTTATCGGCCCCCCCGGCCATAGTCCTACCGTCTGTATTGGGGTCGTCATAGTCTAGATGTGTTACTTAGGCTTAGGAGTGTTCTCGTTAGAGTGAGTGTGTGTTTTTTAAGTTCTGTAATTGGGGGCAACAATAAACTATTGAACTATGTTTAACATAGGCTGCTTAAACCATGTATCCAACAAAGAACACAGATAATGTACTTAATTTACAATCCATGAAAATGAAAACGGTTCTAGATGAAAATTGGTTTGGATATGTAAAGTGAAAGAGAAAGACACCGGAAACAGGCGTTACACAAGCGACGAGTACCTTAATGTATATAGGTACCTAATGTAAGTGGTTTAATTAACGATATTACTTGTTGTTATACAATTTATTTTTAACTCATCTCTTCGTACTCTAGAATAGAGCGGGAGGGAAAGAAGCTTTCGTGTGATAGCTTCATCTTTAATTGTGTCGCATTAACAAGACTTTGGGTAGCAATTGAGTAAAGTTCATAATTACTGGGCTTTAATATTTGTACATCTTTGGTGCTAACGGGCTAACCATCTTTTTGGCCGGTGGAATATTCTCAACCTTGGCTACGGCGAGAGCACGCTTCATTCCAGGAAGCATATCTATGCTCCACGCATTATAATTTGCCCAGTATCTAATCATTGTTAATATTTAACCCATGAGAGAGGAAGTCCCGTAGCCCGCAATTTACGCACTTGTCGATGTTCTCTTTCTCATTTCTTGCCTTGAACTTCTTCTCTTTCTTCGCCTAGAAGTCGTTGAGGACCTGACGATGCTCTTTGAAATCGAAGAATGGAACCGAAAACCCACAAGAGCTTCCAACCTGATGTATGTCGACAATTATTATCGCTATAGTTCCCGGAAGGGTATCGATGTGGTGCTCTGTTACAAAGTCTTCGAACTGTGCTGTCTCTTTCTCGAACACCCAGCCTGTACCAAACGATTAGCGGTTTCAAAGCACCATAACTGGGTTCTGTAAATTACGAACCCTTGCCTCAGAATCGAATAATCTTGGGTAAGCCATCAAACGCGCTGAACATGATGGTGATCCGCCCATTGCTGGGCTCGTCCAAGTGACTAATTGTCTCGTTTCCAGAGCCGGTCAGGTCCATATACCAAAACTTTTTGTTATCAAGAAGCCCAAAGTAAGGGCCACCCTTCGGTGACACGTTTACATCTAAAGTTTCTCAATCAGCGACTGCTTGTTCAGTGAAGATATTCTGCGAGTTTTGTTCAAGACTACGGCAAGCTACCAAATAAACAGCAGTATCTGGGTCCCACAGCCGAAGAAATGAATGGAGATAAATCAACATTCCGGGAAATACTCACGTCCTTTAGCAGGAAGAGGGGACATAGCCACCCAGAAGATTTGTTGCATCATAATCCAATTATGGAGGCTTTTAGGAATTTTTTCATAAAATACGCCCATGGTGAGGTATGTTTCATACGGTAAAAATAACGATTGAGGGATAAGTATGGGAATCTCAAAAATGGTGTATCATATATATGGTTATGCCAACCCAAGCAGAACAATAGACATTTTGTTTAATATGGTAGGGATCACTTGGCCACCCCATATACGACCAACTCCTTTTTATCGTAAGATTTACAAGTTACCAATTCTGCCAGGCTATAAGTGGGTAAGGAGGCCTACAGGAGTCTATCTACTATATAAGGGCGCCACGCGCTCTCGAAAGAGAGTAGAAGCCAGGCGTTACTAGTTCAATATATCATCCTTTTGGTCTACCTATCCTAGATATTCACTCTGTGTATGACATCAATCACCTGGGTATGAACCCCCTGACAAATTCATTGGTTCCGTCTATTTGCCTCTGATCCCATAATCCTTGAATCTGCATACACATGGCTCGAATCCGGCAGATACTCGAACACGTATTAAGTCTTATCTCGGCAATCCCAGATTATAGTTTCCGGGATTTCATGTAAAATGTGATTTGTGACACGGATGTTGATTATAAGCTACCTGTTTTGACCAAAGTCAAAAGATGTAATACAATATACACTCTTCAATACTCTTACGAAAGAAGGCTATACCACAAGTTTGAAAACGCTCGGAATTAGAATAATCAACTATCTACCTCTGGGTACCTTTAATTTCGTTTTGCTGTCATTATTCGTAAAATGATTGAAGAGTGTACGTCACGGTTTACAAAAAGTCGATATAATAATCAAACACAATGTTCCTTCGTAAACCCAAAGCATTGAATCTTTCTAATCGTCTACAAAGAGCTGCTTACGGAATAACTGGCGCTTTATTTACAACCTACGCACAAGTGTTATCGGCCGTTTAACCTTCCATACTTCAGTCATCATTTTAGGGTTTCCGACTACAGCGCGGTGAGAAACCCACTGGTAGTCTGTACAATGTCTCAACTGGCATCTATAATTTTGAGTTCGAATTGAAAAAATATTTAAGGCATCCGCATGTATACACTTACGAAAGTGGCGTTCTCCACACAACCTTTCATGATTAAGCATTGATCCCATTAGAGATAGGCTCTTGAATCCAATTGATGTGAGCCTGAAAGATCCGTCCCTATCTTTCAAGAGCTATCGTACAATATCATATAGACCCGTCTTCAATGGCATGCCTTGCCGTATTTCCGCAAGCGGATGTAGTTGTATGGTAACGGAGTCAAGAATCCGGCTCCAAGCGAGATCAGGGCCGCGAGCCAGAACGAGGGAGAGTCCAGCTGAACCACCCCTCCAGTTAGATGGTAATCAACGGTGTTCTGGGCCAGTTCCATGGTGATCATGGATATCATGCTCATCCCCACGGCGGTCTTAGCTGCGGCAGCCCATGGCAATCGATCGCGGCCGTATCGGAGGAGTGTGGTCTCTAGAAGTAGGGAGCTGGATAAGCCGCAGGCCACTATGATCGATTAGCATAAGGGGAGAAATATGGTCAAGATGGAGTCAGCAGCTACACACTCGATATTGCCATTATAGCATTCATGTCCATGTTAGGGTGGAACAGTTGTAAGTACCACATAGATGTAAAATCGCCAATTGAACAACCGATAAGACAGCGGAGTGTATTGATGGTGGAGCGTCGCCAGGTGGTCGCAGATTTCCAGAATTCAAGTTCCGTTGGGGAGGATGAACTTGGAGTTGGAGTGCTGTCATGGGATCTAGCCGCTGTTGTGCTCTGGCTACATTTTGACTTTGGTTGACACGCTTTCCGGGCTAGGCCGATGTGGAATGATGCTGAGAGTCTGGGACCAGGCCAAGCCAGCTGCCTCCATGGAGCATGAGACCGTGTAAGCATCGACGGATGGGTAACAAGTCGAGACATCTTCCTTTGACCGAATAGCTGACAAGAGTTTGATGCTAATTGCGCAGGAGTAAGATTTAAGGGAAGTAATAGTAGTAGCCTTAGTGGATTTTTTTTTATGCAGCACTAATGTTCATTCTCTCAGCATGTAATTCTCTTAATTAATAAGGCACAATGCATTCCAGATTCAGATCCACGAGTATAAATCGTTTCGCTAAAGTCCACCTCAAAGCCTCGCCGGCCGGCCAACACCACTATTTACTCTCTTCCAAGCCATAGCATATGCGCCTGTTAGGCATGCGCACGCGTCGGCAATCGAGGATGAGTCAGCGCATGTCCATAGCATAGGGGCGACATTTCGCACAAGTAGCGCATCTGCTCGTACGACGGGCTTGGGCATCTAGTCATAGATATGGTAAATTAAATTACAAATAGAGAAGAGGGGGGGCCAACAAGGCATGCCGATCCCGCACAAAGCGCGCAACGGAGAACCCACATCCAACCCGGAGTCTATTAGACGTCTGCCGAGTCAGGGGGTTTGAATTCTCAAATTGAGACGAGGCACAAAAGGTGCAAAGTGGGATACTCGCACAATCATCGCAGTGATATTGTCACGAGGTGGAACTAAACAGCATGGTAACAATTTCATTGTTCCGCGAGGAACTCTAACAGGCAACTAAGAGGTTCCAAGTCTATACACACTAAACCTGTTCTATGTTCTAGATGGGATATCTAGAATCCTGACAGATACATGGCATAGGAATATCATAGAAAGATAGCTACTTAAGTAATTGAGCATGACGAGTTCTAAATGACCCATTGGAACGTATAGAAATAACCCTTGACTGACTTGACTTTCTCCCTTTAATAAAGTCTGCCTACAATCAAGGGCCTAAGATCATTGAGCAAGAAGTTCTATATCTTCTCCTTATTCTACAACTTCTCTTTAAACCCATAATTGTTAAAGCTAGCAGCAACAATAACACGGTTGCCCAATATGATCAAACCTCCAGCAGCTTATCTAGAGCGAACTGTCATCCTTAGCCCTAGCATCCATTGCCCGACCTGCACATCCTTTATCGAAAAAGTTCTCCTGGGCTTGAATACCAAAATACGACTTGTCGAGACCTCAATCGTCAACCACAGCGTTACTATCCAGCACGAGTCGAATCTCGACATCGACCAAGTTGCAGATGCTCTCATGAACGCCGGCTATAAGGTGGAGAGCATAACTTCGGAGCCCCATCTGAAAGACGGAGATGGAGAGGTGTCATCGCATCGTTCTCGCGGCTCGCCAGATGACGACTTCCCCGTCCCATGGCTTGGGCGCGCAGTGCAAACTTGGAGGCGCCGCAGTCGTGTTACCACCACGAATTCAGAAACCACGAAGCAACTCCACGCCGAGCACTGCAAATCATGTGCGGATGAGATGCTCAACCTGACGCTTTCCGAAAAGAATGAGCTCATATCATCAACAACGTCTAATACTCCGAGCAGAACCCCCTTTGTAGCTATTGACTATTCGGAACCCGGAAGGTGTACCAGGCCATATTTTTCTGCATCAGCGGCGTCTTGAGTAGTATATTACTAGCTGCTATATATGTAGGTACTTATTTCTTGGGCTGTCATCACTTATCACGGGCGTTGCGACAGATGTTCCTATGTGGGCAGTTTTTAAAGTATATACCAAGGCTTGGGGTTTGATCATTGGGCTCGGTTACGGAGTGGAAGCACTTGAATACGCCTTGTGGCTTGTGATGAAGCCATTGACGAAGGACAACACCGGCGGCCAAAAGTTCGAACTTCTCATATTTCGGTTCTATTATCTCATAATCCATGCATTTATTATAGGTTTACCGAGGATTTTTCGTATTGATGTACATGGCGACCTAATAGAGGAGAAGGAAAAAGAATCCACCACTATGTAGGAGGCTCGCTAGCTTTGTACTTAAAGTATATCTCGCTACCTACCTACTGCTTAGTACGCAGGATATTAAGATAGCTGAAATTACTTTGGCCAAGACGCCTTCGTACCCAGTCTAAGAGTTGAGCACAAGAGGTCACCCCTTATAGTGTAGCATAACAGCTCGAGTTTTTCCTATGTTGTATATCATCTCTAGAAGTGCAACCTTCAAGATTTTAAGAGTAACCTGTTTTACGGCGCGCCGGGCCTAACTTTCTTATCACGATCAGCATCTCAATTAGGCTAGGGCTCCCTAAAAAGAAAGACTTGAGTATAATGGCTGATTATAAAACTTCGGAACTTGGATATTTATTGGTTTTTCATTTTTCGAATCCATGACTTTACGCACTTGTGAAAGACAAAGCTCGAACTGAGCCACCTAGCTTCTTGGTAGCATAGTTGAAAATGCCAAAGCGATAGCCCATAAAATATGCCCAGTTGGTATACATCGTGTAAGGTTCCCCTAGCTGGGTGAACTTTTGCCCATCTATACTGTATGAGAAATTGGCCGCGTAACTACCGCTCGCTCGAGCGTCCAGTGACGCCGAAACCAAATTGTCTTATCTTTAGGGATATCTGTTATTGTTGCTACTATATTCCCGAGGCCAGTCGTATTCCATGCAGATTCTTCCTGCGTGATATTGTGCACGACGGATAATGTGTACTTGGATCCATCACGATGGATACCAATATAAGCAGTGCGATCCCGGAAAGCTGCAAGGCCAAATCGGTCACCGTCGGCCATATTAGTAAAATCAACTTGAAGAGTGCCGACGGGGAACTCTCCATGAATGCGATGGGTTAGGGTGTTGCGTGCTGCGTACAAGTCGTCCGTCACAGTCGCAGTTGATAAAGTCACCCCGCCATTGCCAATCTTGTACTTTGTCTCATCAGGATTATGATTCCATTCCCAGTCTGGGCCCAAAGTGCTGTCATCAAAAGTATCGGTACGAGTCCATTTTTGGACGGCTTCGACAGGAAGTGGCGCCGGATAAGATGAACCCCATCCACCAGACTCGTCAGCAACAAAAAAGGGGAAGCCATCATCACCCCACTTTACTGGAGCCAGAACAGGTATACGGCCATTTGGATATGCCCATGTGAAAGACATGTAGTACCAATCACCTGTTGACGCCTGAATGAGACTTCCTTGATGCGGAGCTCCGCCATTAGACACTGGAGATTTAACACCGTTAACTAGTATCTTGCTCTCATAAGGACCCCAGGGACTTTCGGATTTCCATATATAGGTAATATCGCCTGGATGGTCGTCAAGGATATAGTAGAGCCCATCCTTTTTGTACATGCGATTTCCTTCGATTCCGTCTTTCCCTACATCAGAGGCACTGAAGATGTGTTTGGTCTCTACCTGGCTGAGTCCGTCTTTAGATAGCTGGGCTATAGACACGTCCGTGGCGCCGTATACGACATACATGGTATCGTCGTCATCGATAAGGAGGCCACAGTCATAGTAGCATGTGCCGCCTGGAAGCACAGCCGCGCGGGTCCATGGTCCGGTGGCGTCCTTGGCGGTATAAATGTAAGTGTACCAGAAGTCAACGCAGCCGATCCAGTACCAAAGCCCGGTGCTCTCACGAAACCTCATCGTAGACGCCCACGTTCCACCTCTATATGCATGGCCATTCGTCAGATTGTACTTCTCGCCGAAATCGAGACTGGGCACAGAATGACCGATAAGTTCCCAGTTGATAAGATCACCAGATCTTAAGATCGGAGCACCTGGACTGTAATGCATATTGGAGGCAGAGAAGTAATATAATCCGTCTGGACCAACAGAGACATCATTATCGGCGAAGTCTTCATATACCACCGGATTCTGGAAAGAGTCTGCTCGTTTCTCTAGTAAAGGTTCGGTAGCTGAAATAGGTTCAAGCTTGCTCAAAGACGGAGAAACACTCATCCATGCTAGATTAGCTTGTAACAAGCCGCAGAATAGGAGAGCGTCTCTCATCTTCATATTGACCATCCAATAGCACTGAGTACATTAAGAGGATAGGTATCTTCTAGGCTCAAAAAAGTTAAATGAAAATATGCTCCTAACAATGCATAACTATTTATTAAAACTCTTTATTAACTAGATCTACATGTCTTCTCTGGGAGGTGCTACTTTTATATTTCTTTCTTTCAAGCGCTGTATTGTGGCATGTTCGTACCTACTAAACCGCATGATGCATTTTTTCAATGCAACTCTCTCTAAAGGAGGATGTTCTACCGAGGTCGCATTGCGATTAGTTCTATAATGCTAGGAACTGCTATATAGGTAGGTAGTTTCCACAACTAACTAAACAATAATTACGGGGCCGTTGGGATGTGCTTGAATGTCCTCTTATTAGGACAAACGAGGGTATATTGTCAATTGTGTCATACAAGTGCATATAATGTATATTTAAATATCCAGTTAATGAATTAAAAATTTAATTGGTTTACTTTTCAACTTGCGCAGTTGGAATTGATCAGGTTAATTGGCGTGTTGGATAGGTAGTTGAAGGCTAATATTTCAAGTAATAACTCCACAAAGATATAATTGACATTTACTTGATACTTATTTGATACTGCTATATATTAGAAACTTATGAAGACTATATTTATGCGATTGATCGCTCCTGAGATAAGATAATATTAATATACCTAAGATAAAGGGATCAAGTCTATTTAATTGTTGTAATTGTTGTACAGTAATTTAGAAATTTCTCTTAAAGTACATAGTGTTACGACTGCGTGCATACGCTATGTACTGTGTTATTGTATGGCTCGCAGATGAGGCCTATTCTATGGGAAATGAGAGCAGCTTCGTTGCTATCTATGATCCCCACTTTACGACTCTTTCCATAATGACGAATGAAAGCCCTAAAGGGTTATCCGAAGAGTAATCCTAGGAAACTAATGGGGAAAGGGATGATTATAAAGATTACGACTTAAGAAAAAAAAAAATAAGTAGGTCGTTTAATAGGTAGATTCTGTCACGTTATCCACGTTATCAAGCTCGCGGAGAAAATAGCTAAGGTCAGGTAGCTCCGGTACCTAACTTTAGGTACTAGGACAGGGATGCCGGGGTAAATTTACAGGTCGGGTTTTGAAATCGTGGGGACCCCCAGAAACCTCTGAACCAATGGCATTAAGAGCGGCATAGTAGCCCCCGGAATTTACAGCTAAGAGCCTGTAATTCGGCGAAATATTGTACCTGGGTACTTTAGTTCCTTCGCCTAAACACCAATGCCTGCAGTCGCCTTGGTTCATCTCTTATCTTCTTCTACTCTTTCTACTTACGAGGCTCTCGCCTCAATTGATTTGACGCTGATCCGTAGCTGGATAATTCTGCATTTAAGTGGCCGGAAGAATTACTTGGAAGCACTAGGGAATTTTTCCCGAGCCTACTTTCGTTGGTTTTCTAATCATCGCATTCGTAGCTTCGCCTCATGGCCTCCCATTTGCGACCTCAATAGGTACTTTTCAGCTTTCTAATAGTGGAGGCTTGTATATATCTATTGTCTCGAACCTCAAGATGTCTCTTACGATATCTTATAAGCCCGCATGAGTTGACCTATTCATAATTCCCCGATAACCCCGGACAAAATACCTATGGTAGATATCATTCTACTAATAAGGCTCTGATGCTCATTGTTTTCTGTTTTCATACGATAAGTTTCCCGACCGAACATAAGCTCAAGGCACGTCTGCCATGAAGAGCCCGTCGCCCGAGACGATCCCGATATTCAGCCGTTCATAGTATTAATATCGCTGGTCATTCGGATCAATTAAATCACTCCCCAAGCCTAGAGATCTACCTCTGTTAACGCGGGGACGTCGTCTATTAGGGCAGTATGGCGACAGTCCAACAGCTACACCAGGCTCCTACGCCAGCCTGCCCGCTTAACAATCCCGGCGCATCAATCTCAACCGTAGAAATAGATATAGAGCGAAACTTGCGACCGAGAGCCATGAAAGGGTCTAAGACTACGAGTGGATTGCAAAAAGGCGATACCAGAACGGCTGTTATCATCTATGATCCTGGTCAGGAGCGCATAGTATCAGTTTTCGCAGACGTCTTAGGGAAACCATATCGCATGGCCGACAGCTTTCAGGGCATAACTTCTATAGAGCAAGAATTGGTACTTGGGATATCATTGGGGAGTGCCAAGATTGATATATCTTCGCGAAATCGAGATGCGGTGGTTGCGATTAATGCTCACTGCGTCAATCTCGGGATGCCCCCGGACACTTATATATCTGCGCAGTGCGACTACGAGTTCTTGTATCCCGAAGCGTCATTCTCACGTCGAGACCTAGCCCGCTTTATTTCCTTCACCCTCGGTCAGATTAACCACCATGACGCATTAATGTCAAAGCCGCGCACTTATTTCATTTTCGACCACATTTCCTGATGTTCGGGCAGCCCTTCCCAACATAGATATTCTCACGGTTGGTGCTGACGCTGTAGAACTACGCGTCGATCTCCTCAAAGAGCCTTTAAATGATGGTAGTTTTGCACGGATACCTAGTCTAAGTTACGTTGGGGAACAGGTTATGCTATTGCGCCAGAGGACCGAATTGCCCATTATTTTTCACGACAAGATGTACGAAGGAAAACGGTCGGTTTCCGATGGATAATCCCGACTTGTATTACGAATACCTTTTCCGGGCTATCCAGTGGGGTGTCGAATACATCGACGTCGAGCTTTGGCTCCCGGAACATATTCGTCGGAGGCTGTACGAAAAACGCGGGAGCAGCCGTATTATGTCTGCGTTCCACGACTTTTCTGGCACATTCAAATGGCCTTCGGCCCAAGCAGAGGCTATCTTCCTTGAGTCTCGAAAATATGCTGATATCATAAAAATGATATCAATAATCAACGATCACAACGAGAATTTCGAGTTGGAATACTTCCGCTCGAAAATTCGAGGCGAATATCCAGACTCGCCCCCCCTTTCAGCCGTCAATATGGGTGAAACTGGTCAGTTCTCGAGAACTCTAAACAAGGTCTTCACACCTATCACTCATCCTCTTCTTCCGATAATTGCTGCGCCAGGTCAGATGAGTGCTGCTGAGATTAATGCCGCACTGTCATTGCTTGGCCAACTTCCAAAGAAGAGTCTCTACGGAATTAGTAGCCCATTCTCCCGTATTGCGACTCCTCACGCACCCTTCTACGAGAAGTGCTTCAACGAGCTTGGCTTGCCACACCAATTTGCTGTTGTCGAAAGACACCTTAAGGGACCTACCTGTGTGGAGGCGTTGTGCAATCAAAAATCCTTCGGCGGGGCATATTTGAGCCCGCCAGTATCTTTGGCAAGTCTCATGTATGAGAGCTCTTTCTTTACGAGGCTTAATAATGGATTGGGCCCATCACTTACTGAAGCTGCTCGTACGATTGGTATGGTTGATACCATCGTTGTTCAATCTCGATCGTCTCCACCATCCTCAGCACCTCCTGCCACTCCTTCAGGCTCTGACCAGAGTGTTGATACGTCCCCAAATATTGGTATCGGCAATTGTAACGGGTTACCACTAAGCTCGACACTAATTTTTGACAACGCAAATTGGCGTGGCATCGTCAGTACTCTAACACGTGATCTTGCGCCATCAGCTTACTCTGGTCGTGCGGCAGTTGTCCTAGCAGCAAATTCCGACGACGCAGCGTCAGCCATGTACGCATTGAAAGCGCTTCGAATTGGTAAGGTATATACTGTTGGTTTCAAGACACCCCCTAGTCTAGCCCGCGGCCTCGAAGTCGAGCCCTTCAACAGTTTAGAGAGTCTCCAAAGAGCAAGGATGGTGCGTGATAAGGCTAGCCCTTTCGTAATCATCTCTGCTCTGGGACCTGAGAAGTCTAATATTGTCGGGATGCTTGTGCGTGTGTTTGGAGGTTCAAGAGGTTCGTCCACGCAGATTCGCAAGGTCTTCCTAGACTTGGCCGATGGTCCGAGGAAAGGAGACCCAAGCGCGGTTGCTGAACAGAGTGGCTTCGCCGCGTACGGCGTAGCAGATACCACAGCATTCACGACCGTAGAAACTCTTAGGTTGCTCGTCGGCCAAAATGTACCCTACAGTTTTGTGCGGCTTGCGGGCGGCCAGGGAATGTTTTAAAGGAATCATATATATACCCCGGGGAGAGTTAATAGGATGTTAGATGCATAGTGCTTAGGAACTCAATATATGCAGATTACCGGCGAACTGTGTATGATACGATCAGATGTAATTCTTCTGACTCTAGACCAGCCAGTTGTGGGCGTATCTCGGAGACCTACTTGGAAAAAGTCTACGCAGGCGTCTTCTCCAGAGTATACTACCCGCACTATTTCTTCGTCCCGTTTCTCTGTATTTACAACTTGTAAATTACAAGTTCAAGTGAATTGGAGACTCTTCCGAGAACACAGTCCCGACATACGGAATCAAGGGGCTATGAAACCGTCTGTTAAGGGTATTCGGTGTGTAGCATGCCTGGGCATTCTCGTAATTGGATAGGCTTATCCAAGGTCGAAAAGTACTATGCTCGTATTGCTTAACCTACGCTTATACCTGCGTAGGTACGATGATCCATTAATACCGAACTAAAGCGCCGGGCGAGTATAGAAACCTTGATGTGCACATATGTAACCACATACTCTTTGGAGATGCTATCAAACCCCCACGCCCCTTGTCTCCCGCTCTACGTCTACGTACCACCCTACTCCTTCCGTTAGGTATTGATGCCGAAATGCTAGAGTCAATTCACACTATAGTAGCTCGGAGTTTTTCCCAAAACATAAAGGTGATTTTCGTGAATGCCGAATTTGCGTTGGAACCCGGACAATTCTCCGGGTGGCTGCTGAATTGAGTAGGTAGGTAGTCAAGCCTAGTGCAGCAAAGGGAGAAATTTGATAAATTGAGATGCAAACGCTGAGTAATGGACGCTTATGCTATGCGGTTAAGACCGGTTTATTGCAGATACACTCAGACTAATATAACCTCATACGATGCTCCAGTGGGCGGGCTTGATATATAGCCTACGGGTACCTGAGTCGGCGCATAGGATGATAATAGTTTTCAAGATGCTGCAGATATTTTATAGGGGTCCGGCAGGGTACTTCGTATGTTTCGTACATTATACCCGCATGCGGTATAAGACGTTCAATTAAAAGAGCCTGAATTTCAGGATATATAGTCAAGATGGCACTCCAGGAGCCGAAGCCGCATGCAGGCAGCCATAATAAAAGGGTTACCCACATCGTCTCGATGTGGAGAGAATTTGATGCTCCACAGCGTCTATCCCGAGTCCGAGTTCGTGATAAAGAGTGTGTTGGGACGTATTTACACCCTATCGTTTTCAAGAGAAAATAAGGGTATCGTTCGACTTCTGACATGTGTGACGCAGGTGCAACATGTCAATATTGCACGTCAGTACCAGCCAGCAGGCTATTCAGGGACCGGATCTGTCACTAACCTAAGTGGCTGTGGCCGGGGAACTGGGCATTACATATCCTAAGCAAGGGGCTGCTTTAGACATAAATCTTGTTCCTTGTTAAAAAAACCAAAATATAAAAAAACTTGGCTCACATTACGAGCCGATGTGACTTTAAGTTAGAGGTATACTCGAGCATTGCTTTCATACGTGCGGATGTATTAGGACTGTAAATTGTTGAAGAGATAAAAAAAAAAAACATGAGGATGCCTAGCTCGATTAGTTCCATGCATCCTCAAGTATATAATTTTGTATACAAGTATCTTTTGGCGGGCATAAACATATCAACATTAGCACCTATTTCTAAATACGAATAACCTCGTGAAGTACTTAAAATATCTTTGGTAATTGTATAATATTTTAGACTAATGGGATAAAAGAGGGGCAGAGTGGACTCGGGTCTTCTAGCGGCGAGCATTGACCCGGTCCGGCTTCTACGGCAACCCTGAACATCTTAAACATAGTTACACCTATGTACTAACAAACACTTAACAAACAACCTTTTACTAAACGTCAATCTTTTAAATATTACAATACCCCTGCCTTTCCTTGCCAACTCCCGGAATACATACCCGAGTCTCCTTCCGAGATGATTTTTAAGAGGCCTCAACTCAAATAAGATATTTGGTATCTAGTATCACACGTGTCATCGTCACGATCGTGAACCACACAATCTACGATCTAGATACGCGCAGTACCAGTGACGTGGAACTGCATCTTATGAGATGCCCTCGAAAACCCTGTACAAGCCTACATGATGACAGAATCCTAAAACATGGACCGGATTGGTCCTATAATTTACTTACGATCGGCCTTGCAACATCAAAACGCGCCTAGATATGATATATCGACCCACTGCCATCTATTCGGGTACTCCCATATCTTTAAACCATCCCAACTCTTGACATATAGATGCATGATTACTGGGTCCCACCGGTTAGCACCGCTCATCCCACGCTGTCGGTATCCGCCTCAAACAGGGCATCGATTCCCCAGATCCAATAGAGCCATTGTAAATACTATAGCGAGCCGTTCGGACTCGGTTCAAGTATCAGCAAGACGACACACCAAGCGCCATCATCTCCGAATGGGCGCTTCGAGTTCACGTCATTGTCAATCCGGTTAGACCTACCTAGTTCAAACGGATGAATGCCTAGAGTTTTTACGGTTCTTCTTGTAACAAATACCTACATATCTTGTTCCTGCTCCGCCAACTCCCGGTGTATCAACGCGGCTACGTAAGTTAGTTACCTTGTTTAGCTGCGTCTTGATATCTCGGGGTGGGTCTCACGGGGTCATCGTCGTCGTCGATGCCGGGAACAATGGCGCCCAATTCGACAAAGGAAGATACATACTTGGAAGCTCTCCAGTTTATTATTAGCCCAAAAGAAAAGTGGAAGCCCCGGTACGTCACGACCAGTCCGGGGAAATAATAGTCTATCGAGAGTCCCCGATGTCCCGAAACAGTAAGCCAGCTAAACTTAGAGCACTAGTAGAGACTATTCGCGGGGAAGTTGTTAAGATCCATGGCTTATGTGCCTATATGTGCCTCAGAAGCCACTTACGCTTATACGACACTAACCGCAAACGCGCAGATATCAATAATGTAAGAGGTCGTGTGCCTGCATATTTACCTCTAGCTATTTACCTAGCGGTTCGTAGAATGAAGTAGCTCCATGTTAGCCACAAGGTCTAGCTTCATACATCAGAGGCGACCTGTGTCTCTATCATTAGCGGTCAATATTCAACTCTCATGACACGGGGCCAACATAAGATCAAACCAGTTAGTACCAGCCTAAGTCTTAGTTAGACATCCGCCAAGCTGGGAACCGGGACTGCATTTCTTGTTATTCTAGGAAGTCTCTGGTTCTGCGCAGCATCAAATTACGAATAAACTCCTTCAAACGGGAGATTTAATGGGAACTAGCATATGCTTGGTTAAGTTATGTTCAAGGTGGCTCAAGCCACAATACATTCGACTTGGACAACAGCTTAAAATAGTTCTCAATGCGGCACCATCCACCCATAAATCACTTCAAGATTGACCAGTGAAAGCTCGGTCGTACGGGAAAAGTAGAGACATAAGACTTAGAAATTTCACGACGAAGATCGATAACTCTAAACGGCTTTTCACGAGGGCAGCGGAGTCGGCGCTTTTACGGCTTCAACTACCAGGATATAACTGTTAGTCAGAATTAGGGAGGTCAATGGGGATTGATTTCTATTGGCGCGCAACGGATGATGCCGCCATCTCCAGCACGTGGCATACTTCTCGAAGTGTTAGAGCTCTCCTCCACCCCTATCACCACCATTACTACCAACTCCTCCGTGTTCCTTTTCGCCGGTTCTTGTCCTTCCCATTGTGTATAGCACGGGAATCTAGCTTAATAGCATTAAGCTCAAGACCGTAGTAACGGCAAGCGGCCCCTCTTATTAACATGGGCCGAGAATGAAGTCTGCAAGAACCCCGTTTTGGTCGCCTTCCGACGGCTTGGTCCCAGTTTGTAGCCAATCCAAAATCCCTGCTCTTGTCGCCCTCTCAGTTCCCTGTAATCTTCCCCAGTTTACCCCGTCAGGTCCCGCATTGACAAGGGCTTCACGAGCCGAGTGGGTAATGAATAGGATCGTGCCAGAAGCAGGCCCTTGCTGAGGCCCCCAAGACGTTAGCAGGGCAGGGCCGGTAAAGTCAGTCACTAAACCCCAATCGTCCACAAGCCGTCTCCCACATCTTCAGCGTCTCTCCGCATAAACTATGCCCCATCTTTTCCCATCTGAATAAAGGACCACAAATTTCAACATGCATTGCGCGGTCGTGAGCCCTTCCTCTTATTAGTCCTTCTCCGCCGTAAATATTTCTCCATGTCTCCAAATTCTAGCAAAATAATAGTATTATTGGGCGCGTCAACATCGTTACCAAGTACAATACAATATGCAACAAACACTATAGCATTATATCAACGCAGAAATCCAAACTAAGTAGCCGGCAATCGGTCAACTATAATGATGAGAGGTTCATTTACGACTCAATGAGAAACTCTATCTCTATAGAGGAAGGATAAGGAGAAAGAGAGAAAGGGATTGGACGCACCGATTCGACAACGACGGTCTCAATTCTGGCCTCTAGAAACCCTTCGACGAGAGATACATTTAAAATCGGTAATCATGAGTATCGCACCTCTCCCTGGAATTCAACCCATCATCATGTCGCGGCCACAAGTCGGCATCGAGCGATTACCAAGTCGCCGTATGGGCAACGAGCCACGAGAAGCAATGAATTGCAAGTCATGTCGGAAACGGAAAGTAAGGCTCCTTACGTCGGCCGGATCGAATCCAATTAGCCCAGTTTTGTTCTTAATCTAACGAACGGCATTCTCCGTGTAGATTAAATGCAATCGAATGCGTCCATCTTGCGAAGCTTGCCAAGTCTTCCAATGCCCCTGTATCTACGGTGCGTAATTGGCTTTCTCTCGCCCGTAGGAGAGCCCCTTTATAATAAATTTTTAACAGTTGAGCTGATTTTACCTTGATTCCTCTCGTTGCAGACGCTATACCAAAAAAACGAGGCCCCAAGACAGATGTATTGGAGGCATTGCTAAAGAGGGTAGATGGTTTAGAAGCCCAGCTCAAAGATCATAGAAAATCCGATGCTTCACCAACCACTGAAAAGCTTCCACATATTAGTACGGAAGAGACGTCTCCTAGTGCCAGACTGGCCGCAGACGATTCAGATTCTGGGCCAAAATCAAAGCGACCGACTCTAGATATTTCTCGGGCAACAGAGATAACTTCGGAATCTGCCATATACTCACCTACGATTTCTAGCGAGCCCTCCCCTGGCGTACAGATAGATACGCTCCTTGACACTTACTTTTCTCGGTTCCACGCGAAGCCCTACCACATCCTTGATGAATCGTCGGTACGACAACGGCTACAACTCAATCAATTGCCTAGTTACTTGATTTATGCCATCTATTCTGTCGCTGCTAGGTTCGCTTCCGTCCCGTAATCTTAGGTACCTCAGCATGTATATACTAAGACTTGATTAGATACACAACGCACCCAAGCGGATGTCAGTCCGCTGCTAAATTGAGTGAGGAATATGCATTACGATCTAGGGGTGCGATCGATGCAGATGAGCCGTCCATCGATGCTCTCCAAGCCCTCCTTCTCCTCGTCACTGCATTTACAGCAGCAGGCAAAGGTAAAAAAGCATATATGCTCCTAAGTAAGTCCACAGATGAGAATGGTGATGTTCAGCGCAATTTATAGACTCATGGACTAACTATCTTATTAAGCGATTGCCATCGGAATGGCCATGGCCCTTGAGCTACATCGGGAGGTAAATCTACAAGCTAGGATAACAGCTGTGGAACGTGAAATGAGAAGACGCTTGTTTTGGACTTGTTATCTCCTCGATAGATTCATGGCATGCGGCTCAAAACGCCCCTGTCTTATGAGCGATAGGACTGTCCTTCTACGTCTTCCATGCTGGTCTCCGAATCCATCTACCTTGCCCGTCGAAGGAGACTTTTTCCAGAACGGGTCAAACCTTCAGCACCTACAAGGTAACGGCAGGAAATCTCAAGGAAGCAGCGGAATGCTCATCGACATCAGCCGTATTCTAGGAATTACAAATAGGTATCTTGCAGCGGGAGGTGTAAAAGGCGATTCCCACTTCCCCTGGCATGCCCTTTCTGAACTTTCCAAAATCAGGCAAGATCTTGATATATGGGCCTCGGGAACTGCCGACGTCTTCTCCAGTGTAGATACCCTATTCGGGCAACCTGATTCGACCGTTCTTGTTCTCAGCAAACTCGTCTACCACCTAATTCACTGTCTTATTTACAGACCCTTCCTCCCAATTGACCTTGCGGAACTGGCTGGGACAGGCCAACATCAATCTTGGCAAATAGAAGCCACTAACATCTGTTTCTTGCATGCCAATGCGATTGCTGAGCTAGTTGAACTCGGTAGACAGATGCCATCTATCGAATGGCCCGCTTTTGTTGGTTATTGTATCTGCACTGCAGGTACAGTCCATATACATGGAACACATTACAACAAGAACGGAGGGGGAGAAACTATGGGTGTTTTATCATCATCATCAGAGTTCCTATCCCGAGAACTACAGCAACTAAGCGAGCTAAGTTATACTTGGGCAAGTGTGCAACACCAACGCGATACCTTGCAAAGCATATACAGTGCCCATGCCGAATTAGTCAAGGGCCTTGCTAATAATTCAATGCGCTATTCCCCGGCTTTCAACCTTGAGGACTTCTTTGACCGCTACTTGACTATTAGTAGGCCAGGGGGTCGTCCGTTCACGTTCGACGCTACGAATCTTAGCCTTTCGGATATCACTACTAATTTTGCCACTGATACTTACTCACCTGATTTATATTCTCCGCGTATCAATACTGATTTCGAACGGCCAAATCTAAAGCGAAAGAATACTGCTTTTAATCAAAGACGACCCGACATCAGAAGCTTAACCCCAGTTAACGCAGCTAATAACAGACCCCTGACTCCTGGACTGCCTACCCCTGGAGCCCATCCTCAGCATTTCTCTTTCTCTACAGCCCCTCATACATCATCGATGATTCACACTTCCAGCTCATTGCTTCCCCACACAGATAATCTACCCAGTAGTACTACCCTATCAATGCAACAGCGACGCGAAACAGTCGATAATCAGACTACTAGCACCACCGCCACCGGAGCCGGATTCAATCCAGCATCATACCAGCCAGCCCAGTCGCAAATGGAATCTATGTCAGCGGTCCCCTTCTCCCCGTCGTATCATTACGCGACTCCCAGCCCGAGCGGCGACAACGAAAGCAACCTCGGCGTCGCTAGCTACGACCCGATGTTTGGAACCGTACCAACCAACACCTTCTCCTCCCCCACGCCTTGGCACGGCGAAGAAGACCCCCGCAAGCTACCGTCGCACTTAGCTGCGGCCCCAAGCCCAGGGGCAGGCAGCCATAACGGTAGTCCGGCCACTGCCCCCGGGGAGGATAAAGATCCGTTCTTGAGCTTGCTAGAACAGCTCGCGGAGAATGAGCATGCTATTGGGCAGGGCAAGGAGATTGATTTCTTCCTAGCGGGGGCGCAGGTGTGAGGCGAGCGAATGCTTTAGGGCCCGTCTATTTACCATGGCATTGATATAGCGAGGCTGGTTCCTATAGCGGGATTGGAGTTAGATCGGCATTTGAATGACTTCTGCGGTGGGATTGATTGGTGTTTATTTTACGGGAGTGTACCATATGATTGGTTCAATATTGGTCTAACGGTACTTCATTAGCGAGCGAGCGATTTGGGAGATGTCACGACTGTGTTTTTTTTTTCTGATAGGCATCGTGTTTGTGTAATTAATTGTGTGATATGAGGTTAGGGAAGAGATATAACGAAGAAAAGAAAATATGTATTTATAGGCTTGGGAAAATAGGGGGCGACGTACATAGTATATATAATCCGCGCTTTGGTTAGGTATCTGACGTGGGTTTCTGGGATACTGACGATTCGTCTATGTGATCTCTTGTATATAGTAGTAAGAACATGATATTAAAGAGTCGGTTCGTTTGCTAGGAACTTATAATAGGTCTTAAGTTAGGTTAATTATTATCTTAAACTCAGGGACGGTCTAACAATATTCTCATCTTACAGCATTCCCGTCTCGTAGAACCTCGTATTCAATTCAATCAATTCAAAAAAAATATAAAGCTTACTTAATATATCTTTATTATATGCATGAATTCACTCGGTTGCATGCACTCATTTCGAGGTAGAAAAGTTGAAAATGAGGCTGTTTTAAATGGTCTTTGATATATGTATATGAGGCTACGCCTGGCTGGCCAATCAGGGGGGTGTATTGTGTGAGGCTATTTGATTAGATGTAAGGTAGTACTTATGAGATGTATGTGGTACGTGTGTACATTAGGAGATAGTAAAATTGTATGGGAATACGTGTAGTACCTCTTGTGCGATTCTTGCGATTTGGTGTTACTCATTTTTTTTAATATCAAAAAGGGTTAAGATGTCAAAAACTGGCTATAACATCCGTCAGCTTTTCAGCTACCCCCAACGTAGATCGCCTGCAAGGTGCGGGATCGAAAACAGGGAAAGGATTCGAAGGGGGAAGTTCCAAGATTGGAGGTTGCAATAATCTGCAATCGGCCTACATATATCGTATCATTGGCCGTGGACAGACGGGTAAACATTTCTGACAGGTAATGCGGGGAACGGCTATGCACACTTACCTATTATGTGGATCTGATTACTCCCAAGTATGTCTCGTGGAGATAACTTTATTTTGTTGATTTTCGAATTTGAAGGTCATAAAAAGGGGTAAGGGGTTCTAAATCAGTATTAAGGTAGTCTACATTTTCAGCCTCTATAGGAGGTATTCGAAGTTTGTAAATATACCTCTTAAAATGTTATTTCAGTGATGGTCAGTTTTAATTTTATAACCCCCTCTTAAATATCGAAGCTGTACAGTTCGAGCTCATACTAAATACCGGCTTCGTATCATCCTAGAATTGGTGAAACATATACTTGGCAATATAAGACGTGTGAGGAACACTATGGAGCATTTGAAATTTTAGCTGCCTTATAGAAACCCCAAGGGTAATTCTAACTATACCCTCTTCGTAATAGAAATCCCCTTTCTGTCCTGCCCTTGAATACTTTGAGCTGATTACTCTTCTAGATAATAACTGTAAGCCTGCGTATTTCTACAGTCTTTTTTACTGTGTGCTGTAATGTTAGAATTTTTCGACTAATTACCTACCTAATACTATGCTTGATTAGTTAACTACCAGTTGAGACAATTCTTACAGCAAGTAAATTCTGTAATAACAACATTGCTCATCCCAATTCTTACTACTATTCGAAAACGCTCCTCCATCTATACCTAATAGTATATTGGGTCTTGGTATTGCTTTGCAAACTTCCGATTGCTCAGTTCTTGATTGTCTTTGTCTGATGATTGGTTCGGTAGCTCGTCTCTCCATTTTCATATACACCATCGGACTAAGATGTAACAGGATATTCTACATTGCATCTCCCAATATGGGAATTTTATTCGAAGGAACTACCTCCAATGCGGCCGTCTGTCGTCTGCCGTCTGCCGTCCACCGTCCGCCTTCTAATCCGTGGCCCTCCTGTCGGATAGGATACTCTGCGACTACCCTCTCGGCGGCTCTATTACGTGCCGATCTAGTAACGCCTTCAGCCCGAAGGGTTACGCTTCGTATTGTAAGACTACTACCTTCTATACGCGTAGAATCGTGACGAATAGTGTTTTGTATGTATCTTCAGTAACTACGTCCAGCTGAATATCAAACTTGGACATGACTACAGACACCATCCTATTCTGAGATTATAGCCCACGACTTGGATAGATTCAACATTCGAGGCCTAAATGATGGCCTACTACGTAATACCTCATCATACCAGTCTACTCACCACAGCCGTCACCATTTTCGTTGCATGCAGTTTATATGCGCTCAGCCAACCAATGAAAAACTTTTCATTATATGCAATGGAAGTGAGTTATTGGACCTGACCATATCCAACTACCATAAGGCATCGAGGCACCAGGGTTGATGATGTTCTATAATAATTCCCCTTTTAAGTAAATGGGCGTCATACATGTAAGCTGGGTCGGTTGACAACACTACACCGGTTCCCAAACCTGACCACCATTTTAATTCAATGGCACGAGGTATGTCATTTTCCTCGTATTCAGCTCCGAACTTGTCGGCGGCTAGCTAGTTGGGCATTACTATCCGACTGCTAAGCTTTCCTCGATATGAACGATGTTTCGTGTTGAGGGGTGAGGTACGTATAGATCTAGGTTGCCACCACGGATAGTTATAAATATGCCGTGCTTTCTTCAGAGTTTTATTGCTTTAGAATAGATCATATCACTCGGTTATCTACCATATTTACCTTACCTAGAATATTTATATTGATCACCGAATACTTTTAGAAACTATGGGCGACACGACTCTTACGTTTGACGTAGCAGGCCATGGTGGAGAGTACCAAAACTTCATTAGTGCACTTCGTTCGGCTCTTGGAAGTGGCAAATTCATCCGGAACCTCCCAGTACTTCCTCGACAGCATAAACTTTCCTGGACCGATGTATTGCTGCGCGCGGACTCTTTATCCCTCAGGCTGAGGGTTCGAAGCAATAGCCTCTATCTAGACGGCTTTCAAAAAGAGCTTCCATGCAGCCCTTGGTTCGAGTTTGGTGTTAAAGGCGATCAACATTTGCTCCCTGAATCCGAGTTCCTGGGGTTTAGCGGGGATTACATTTCATTAGAGCTTGCCGCAAAGACCAAGAGGTTGGACTTACCACTTGGTCAGACGCCTCTTGCCGGAGCCGTACGCCAGCTTGCAACCGTGGAAGACCCTTCCACCCCAGAGAATAAAGTTGCAACGGCAACTTCATTACTCGTCGTTATACAGATGATATCCGAGTCGGTCAGATTCCAATACATATCTTCATACCTCGTCGACAACTGGGCTTCAAGCTTAAAACCATCACCCTACGTAATCGGCCTCGAAGCTGCATGGGGGACACTTTCCCAATCATTGATACATGCCGAGCAGGACCCTGATCCCGAGCATTTTAGGCTTCCAGATAACGATTTGGGCCTTAAAGATGCTGACGGCGTCTCTGAAGTATTGGGTATATTGTTTCGTCGTTCCCTCCCGCTGATCCCGAGGACAAATGATCAACTTGGATGATGACCCAAAGGGCCGTGCACTGGTCGAGGTCTTCTCTGTGCGTATTGAGAACAACCATGGCCCGATGCCGCTTATCGGAAAGCTCTACGGAGATGTTACGGCAATCGATGCTTTAGGTTCTCAGGATATTTACCATCAAGATAGAATCGGTGCTACGCCCGTCGTTGTAAACAGCAGCCTGTTACTAACAGGCCCGAAACGGTCCATTTTAGCTAATGACAGCTTCGTTCTTGACTTGGATCTCTGGGATACAGGAAGTGATTCGTCTCCAGATATCAACATACTCCATGGACAGATCCCATGGAATCTCTACGACCTGACGAACAAATATCACGAAGTCATCACTCAGCAGATTGACGGCCAAGCTTTCAAGGCCAATGTTCGATACATCGTACTAAGTAATGCTGTTCAGGCCCTCGTGGAAGTCACCGTAAATAAAGGGGACGGGGATGATCCTGTCAATATATATGGCAATATCACTGCTCATACCGAGTACGGTAACGTAGTGCTTTTCGACAAGGACGAGAACCACTATGTCGGTATGTAACTTTCAGGCACATTTACTCCCATTTCGGTGACGTTTAAGGGGTGAATATACTCGTCAAAAGAATATTTACTTCTATTTACTATACCCATATCGAACAAAAACTATTATATACCTCATTTAGCACGATGGTTATTAACTTAAGGGTCATACAGATGTACGCCTAGGCAATGATATCCCTCTATCGAGATCTACAGCAGCTGTACTATTAAGTGAGAAGATACCTCTCTTCTCTATTAACAGCTCTCTCTTTGATGTGGGAACCCCGACTCCTCCGACAGAGAGATTGCGGGAGGGAGCTGCGAGTTCACTCCCGAAAGTACACCTACGGTTCAAACAGCCTCTATCACTGGACAATACGGTGGAGTTACCGTGAAGGTCAGCTGGGAGGCTATGCACCACGACGGAGCCGATAGGGTTGGTGCACACTGATAAAGACCTGGAAACCTACTGCTATTTGCCTATGGATATGAATCGGAATGTGGGGGTTCGTTAGGAAATAGGTTCTATTGATGAGGAACATTCATTTATTGGTCTATGGTAACCCTTGGTCATATGGTTATCACAAAGCTGTTATATTCCAGTCACTCTTATTCTTTACGGCCTGTTTCTACTGCTGCAAATTATTTTTTACTAGCCAACCTTCCCAGGTGGGATCAATGGGTTCAACACCCAATTGAAAATAAAAGTCCGTCGTTTCTATAACTTCTGTTCCGTTATATTGATTGACATGTCTCTAATATGAAAAGTGTATATTCTCTATGTATTAGGTACTTAGATATGCATTACAATATCATGCTAATACGGCCACACCTATCCAAATACTCCCCCTCATACTGACTATGCTAACATCCAGTTGTCTCAAGCTAACTCGGTATTACATTTCTTTCTAACTATTACAGCCTCTATATCTCCTAGGCATATTAGTATACTTGCCCCTAATAACCTTCCATTTATACAGCCTTGTCATTATTCCCTTCAGATTTAGGACTTCTAAAACGATATCGAATTTTCAGCTCAACTGAATCTACTTGAAACTCTTCCTGGCGAGGCACTGAAACTAGATGACCTTTTCCTTTAGACGAAATCGTTCAGGGCGCAAATATTTACTTGTACGAATCATAGCTTGCGTCTTCTCCGCCCACGCTCATTATCTGTAGCCAGCTGTCACTCCAAGTCATTCTAGAGAGTTGTTTTGAAGGTTGATAACGCGGATATTGTGCTTCGCGAAAGTTATTTGGGTAAGTGAATACTGTAATCAATAGTAAGCCACCTAGATTATGACTGATATAATTTCCTACTCTCATAAATTTTTCTTCTGGATATACCCGTAAGTGTATCCTAAAACACTCTGAAATGCTTGCTCTACATAATCAAGCTTTATCACTCACTACTAGCCATTGAAAGCTTAGTACAACACTTGATCTCTTGATATTAGCAGCTACTTCCCTTACTATCTCGCCTCAGTCCTTGTCTTCCTTAGGAGGTAGATAACTAAGGCTCAATCCAAAGGGCGCGGTGTCCCGCAAGCTAATAATGCTACGTGTGGCATGAAGGGTGTTCTAGGTCCTGCTAATTTAAACATGCTACTTACATTGTTCTTCGCACCACTCCCAGAACTCGGTGGCTTTACCTTCAGGTGCTCCTTTCAATATATCTAGTCGCGCAATCAGCCGGATTTGACCCCACGGCCAGATATACGCACCGTTGGAATATTCGCTTACCTCAGGAGACAGACCAGAGTACAGCATAATATAAGCGCCGAATTTAGGTTCTATAATATAAACCCCTTCAGCAATACAACAAACAGCCAGTTTTCGTTTGCAAAGATATCCGTATACCGATTCTCTATGTAGAGCCCAACCATACAATCCTCACGCTGCCTGGAACGGCCGTCTGCGCGGCTGCGCGAAGCATCGGTAGGAATTACTACTTGAAGAGTAGCGGAGCAACGCAGTTCGTACCTACATGCGCCTCGATGTCCTATTTCGTTACGCTTCCCGGCGGACATCCATTATCAATATTATTCCACAGAACATCTAGGCGTGTTTCCTACGCTGCTAATAACGCCGCTGCTGGTTTAATTATCTCTAGATCGGAGAGATTGAGAAACAAGAATTTAAGATTCGATGGCGTTGTGGGAGAGGTAAGTCCAATACCTGAATTAGCATTGGTGATAATAAAGACCTTGCCGACTTGACTCCCGGAACCAATATCCCTTTCCATGAAGGTGGGGGTTGGTAGGAAAAATTGCTGCCAAAGAGCCCAAAGACCGGATAAAGTGAGCATCATGAGTTTTTGCTGGATGTCTGTAACCTGAATAGAAGCTGTGTATCATCTACAGTGTAGAATTCGCAATATTTAAAGATTTAGCTAGTATTTCCAAGTTTCCTTAAATTTGTGAAGTAGACGAGTACCAACACGAAAATATTTAGTCTCTTACATGAGCGTATAAGGTTAGGTCCCTCCTAAGGCATCTTGCCTTAATAGGACTCACTTTGGGACGCTTATGCTCTGCTAGCGCGTTCGCAAGAGACTACTCTAAGATATTTATTGTTAGTAAAGCATACGATAAATTTGATACAAGAAAGCTATTGTTTAGGTATCAACCTCTGGGTCCAATAGCAATCCAAACAAGACAGGTAGGATACGCCGGCCGCTGCGATATCCTCCTATCATGAAATACACCTACCGTAATAGACGCGACTTCAACTTTAAATGTCTCATTTACGATATTGTTTCTACACTCATTAGTGGCATTCCATAGTATGTATAATCCGAAGTAGGATCCGAAGTAAGACGAATAAATGACCCGGGTAACTAATACTTCTGGATTGAAGCCGGCGTTCGGCCCCACTATAATAACGGAGGACGGGCGTTTAGAATACGGGAGAGGGCCGGGGCAGGCAGAACCTGGATAAGTTGGCAGACGTGGTTGCGTTATATGCGATATATTTATTTTTCTTCTCTATTTAGGTATATATACTGATGTGTTCCAATATTGCATACTTCTATGATCTATCGTGCGTGCTACTATGTTGCTATTCGCGTCTAGGAGTAGTGATATGCTACGTCTCTGCGGTCATAGGTCGACAAGCATAAACTTATATGTACACGTACTATTAACATCTGTAGTGGTGTTCGTAGCTGGAGAAGATCTATAGGTATTAATTAGAACGCCCTTACTGTATATAATGACTTATATTGATCGGAGTTAGCCGAAACGGTAATGAGGGAGAAAGTCGCGGAAAGGGTATTATATTCTTACGAGATGCTTGCCACGAGTATATCATGTATTCCGTATAACCAACGGGGAAGCTGCTCTATACTAACGGGTATCTTATAATTACATATTACTATAGGCGTGGTGGCAGCGGCGGGAACAGGTATAGGAATAGCTTGTAGGCCCATCTGGCCTTGGCACCGCTGCTACATCCACTGTCTCGGGTCTCCGTTTACCTATCCTAGTTCTGTTCTTCCCGGCGCCGAGCCACTGCTTCGATCTAGTTTCAATCGGCGATCTCTTGGCTTCATCCACACGATCGCTTCTTGCCGACCTAGAGTCGCTAGTGGCCGATTCTTCGCCGTCTGATCTTTCCCTATTTCCCCCCGGAGGCCGAATAGGAGATGCAAGGGGCTAAAGATACTTAGATGAGAGGTAATTAGGAAAATTTTTATATCAATTATTTGGTCATGTTATTATTCTTGCTTATACTTCTCGTACCTACCTACCTACCCAAGTAAAGAGTGCTAGTAAGATCCATAAGGGGTATTGGCAAGTACGCTATGATAAATAAGTACTCTATAATGATACTATACCGGCATCAACTACATATTATGAATTAAGCTTCCAACTACGTAGAGACCTTCAAGATTGCAACGGTACAAAATACTACCTATGGACATTGCATGTTAATCAATGCCAAATGTCTTGGACGAACCTTGTAAAGAAACACTTAAAGGGGCAGCTATCCACCTAAAGAGATTACTGTTTGTCCGCTTTTGTTAAGATCATTTTCCAACTTACCGTCTCGAGCATGGTAAAACATATAGACGTACATACCTACCTACCTAGGAAGGCACTTAATATACTACCTAGGTAGCGTATCCCCATATACTATTTCCTGTGATGCAACTTATAAGGCTAGGCCACGTGGAGGCTACCTATTATTCCTCTCGAGAGCTGGCCTAGGAGGCCTTTCCTGCGGGCTACCCACAGCATATTAAAGATATACCCCCAGGGTAAAGAGCTTCATCTACTGGGGGGCTTACCAATGACCCCCTCGTCACTCTACTTAGGGGTCTTCTACTTAATAAGTTTTACGTAAACACCAAGGGGTCTATCTTGATATGTAAGTACCTTTATTAAACCGTCTACCATAGTACGACATCCTCTCCTCAGTAGCGTACTAGACGCATTATATCTTCTCTTATGGAAACGAGCACGGGACGGGGATGTAAGAGTAATAGATGATGACTCAGGCTCGACTTATAGGATGTGCAGCCACCGTCGCCACCGCGCCACACATAAGCTTAGAGCTCGCAATTAATCTGATGCGTTCCGATCAGCTGGACTTCTTCCAACTGGCTCGCCTTGTTTCCGCCTAGGTTAGGTTTCAACAAAGCAACATTTAAGTACCGAATCTAAGATGTGCCAAGAGAGCTCATATCTTGTATGATGTCACGTACAAGCTATTGTGTAAACGCTAATCGTGGTAACCAGGTGGTAATTCGAAATTGCGCATAGTGCTATTCCCGTGTATAGAAAATGGCATTTTTACTGCTACGTCATCTGGTGGTGGTCTCATACTCAATTCTATTTAATGAGAACTGAGACCTAATGCCCGTCTAACTGCTACCCGAGGCAACCTAGAAGACCTGTCATATATCAACTATCCCTCAGGTAGACCGGTCAAAATGCCTGACTATGTATAAGCAGATCGCCAACGGCACAGGGGAAGACTCGGCGTATGCAGATGGACGTTTGTAGAAGGATAGGATATGATATCTAAGAAGGTCCAGAACGACCCCGTCCGGATATACGGCGTTGTTCGTTGCCACCCACGCGCGTACCCCGGAAGATGGGATCGTCGCGGCAGCTGTCGGCGCAATAGATTGCGAAACACAGGACTGCGTCATTATCTTCTTATATTGTTAGGTATATGGGAAAGGCGGGATCCTTCCAACCAGAGCCAATGCAGATAGATGATTCGAGATCGAGCGCCGACCATGCGACCACCCGAAGCGCACGCGTTATCCGCTTACGGTGGTGCATGTGGATGACTGGGATTGGCTTGCGAGACTCGGCGGGAAAAAAAAAAGGTTGAAGAGGGGGGGCAATAAGATCAATGAAGGGCGCCCCCTCCTGCAAGATTG